GGTTCGGAAAGTAAGGTTCAGTTTCTGTCAACACAGGGTTCTGGTGCGTTTTGTTCCCAATGGCGGGCCAGCATCTGCAGCACACGTCGGCTGAGCGCTCCTGTATTTGATGTGCTCCAGATGGAAACAAGCACCCGCGAGGGTCTCATTTTGGACAAGGGTTGCTCTCAGGTGCTCTTACCAAACTCTACTCCTCTCGGCGTTTTACAGATCCAATATCTCGACCCATAAGACATAGACCAACCCTGACCAAACCGAACACGCTAAGCCTCACACCCTAAGCTCAAACCCAAAACGTGGATACAGAGCAACCCCCGACGGAGGAGGGAAGGACGCAAACTCACAATTCTGATTTTGGCCACCATGTTCACGGTATGGGCTTCGGAGCGGTTCCGAAATTTGGGGTTCCTGTGTTCGGAAAACCTTTATGACACGGATCCCGTTCATAGGGCCTAGACCGAGTTTATTGAAACCGCCATTTCGGGTGCAGGGTCTAAGGTTTGGGGCTTCTGGCTGCTGTAGCATGCAGCATATCGTGTCGAGATTTTGTAGTTTTTGGACTTCGGGTTTGGGACTCCTGCCTGGTACTCCTTGTGTTTGGAGAACTTGGCCGATGCGGGTTTGCGTCCAAAGAAGCTTAAAGGCTTCTGTGCAGCTGCCGGTCTGTACGGGGGTATCTACAAGAAGCAGCAGTCGCATTAAAGCGGCTGAGGCCTAGCTCTGCTGAAGAGCTTGGTGTCTCTGCCTTTTGATAAGGGTATTTGTCGCAGAGCATCTGCTGACGTCATAAACTCCTGGCTTTTGGTTTGGGTTCCTGGGTCATGTCAAACAAGCAAGTACCTTTGTCGGACCTGCGGGTAAACGAAAAAAATTTTCGCGTTGCAGGTTTAGGTATGGGGCTTGCGGTGTGTAATCGTGCGGTCAGAGGTGCCGGAGACACACGGAGGTCGCCAAGTTTGTGACATCTGCCATGCTGCACTGTACAAGCCCCAAACCTTGTGTCAGGCCTGATCATACTGAACTTAGAACCCTAGCAAAAATCTTAATTTTAGCTGTTTCTTAGGGATTGTAATAACCAAAAACTAAAATTTTTTTCTAAGTACCCCTAAGAAAAACGTCCAGCTTGCTCCACCCTAAACCCCTATTCCATCAGACCCCATGCCCATGATACCAATACTTCAGACACGAGGTTTATCCCCAAAAGCGCGATTGAAAGAATTGGGTGACCCCAGATGGACACGGCTCAATATCACGATTCCGTGCTGTCTGCTGCCCCTTGTAGTTTAGAGAGTGGGGCTTGGGGCTTCCGCGGTATCCTAAACCCTAAACCCCCGAAGCAGTCATCCCTAAAATCGGCAACCCTGTACCTCCTTACTAATCCCATGATCCCCATTAGAGAACCCCTATAGATCCCTTGAAGGAACCCTATTATACAACCCTGTAGTAACCTTATGAAACCAGGCCTTCAATCAAAGAAGCCTTAAAGTGCAATGCTCCATGGCTTTCCTTCTTGAAGGCGTAAACTAGGGTCCGCAGATAGGAGCAGTGTCTTCAGTTTGCTTGGGGTTCATGATGAGCTTTCGTGCCCCAAAGACCCTAAGTCGCTAGAAGATGAAAATTGACAACAAGAACCCTAGAATCCAAGAAAGCCTACCTAAGCTGCGGACTAGCGTGTTGAGTTGAGGCCGTGCCCGCGAGGGGATCGCCATGCGCCGTCGGAAGTGCCCCGGGGCTTGAAGTTCCCTCAATACAGGGGCCTTACTAGCTCGAAGAGGGTTTAGGGCGTATACTATGTCACAATTACACAGCAACGCTAGGGAATGATCAATGATTCAGGCTTCTGTCTTTTCCTAAACAATTGCGGGTTGCATAGAGCTCGGGTGTACGGCGTAGGGCTCAGGCAACAACCACTGACAACCACGCACAATATAGCGGACTTCAACTGTATCTTAGGACAGAGCTGGGTCTTCAGAAGGTTCAGTACCTAAACCCCCAAAAGCAGGCAAAATGTTGGCCCAATACCTACAAAAGGCTATTATTCTACATACTTCTAGGGACCAGGTAGGAGTTCAACTGTATTTCAAGGCTTTAGGGCGTGGGTTTCGGGTTGCGGGTTGCAGTTGGGGCAGTTGAGCAGAAAGTTATGGCATGGCAAAATTTGGGCGATAGGACGTCGAGTTCCATGCAAACCCCACAAGTTAATCTAGGTCCTCCTAGTCATATGTACAGCAACGATATGAACAGAACTGCTGCTGCTAGCTGTTGTTGCTGAACAACTCAGAATCACACGAGCAAGAATGACAGTAACGGGATATCACCTCAGGGCTCCTCCTCTTTTGCTTCCTCCTTGTCTGCCGACGCCTTAGGCAAGGAGCGCGCCCGCTGTGCTTTCGTGATGAGCCTGGGCCATTGATGGCTCCGCTGCGATGGCTGTTTGGGCTTAGTCTTCCGGTTGCCGGTATCTATCAAGAGGGGTGTGAAAATGGCCATGCGCTCCGCGGCCCCCCCTCCCTCCCTTCATGGTCTATGGTCCAGGATGCCCTCCTGCCCCCTGTGGGTGGATTTGGGGTCCCTCTTCCCCCTGTGGGGTGGTCGTGGTGGTTTTGGGGTCTTAGGTTTTGCTTAAGCTTTTGAGTTTTGGGTTTAGGGCTGCAGGGTATAAGGCTTCGAGTCGACACGGCTTTAGCAAGCGTTTGGGGTGTAGGTTCGTTAGGGTTGACGGTTTATGTTCTGCTTTAGGCTTAGAGCCTGCATTTAGGGGTTTAGGGTTGGGCGTAGAGTTTAAGTAAAGGTCAAGGTTTAAAACAGTAGCACGCGCTCCTGCGATACGTTAAAAGTTTCTGGCTTGCATAGGGCTTGGGTACGATCCTGGCCTTGTCTGTGACGCCTAGCCGCCCCTCCAGCTGCTGCTGCAGCGGCCCCGCCACCCACCGGACCATACCATTGGCGGGGAGGGCGGGGAGGGGGGGGGGGGAGAACGACAGACGATTGACCACATATGGCCTTGAGCAGAACCTGTATTACTGGCATTCTCTATGACCCCTTGCTGGCGCTGTGCGCAAACCCCTGGCACCTTCGACTCCCCAACCGCAGAGGCTCTGAAAACACCTACAAGTCAAGGCCTGGCGATGGTTCTCCTAACTCCCGCGGCCAATGCAAACTCCGCAACCCAAATAGTGATGCACGGGCCTTCAAAGTTGGAGTTGGGTTTTTATGTACTCTACCACAATCATGCAAGGACTATAAGGAGATGCCACAACATACTATAAACCCTAAACCCCAAGCCCTATGTAAAGAATTGCAGACCGAAGCCGCAGACTCTAAACCCACGAGCCGAACCCCGTCCTTAGCCTTTGCACCACTCTACAGGAACCTTCTGGGTTTAGGGTTTAGGTTTGGGGATTTAATTAGGGTTTAGGGGTTTTGGGGTTTTGGGTTTAGGGGATTCTGGTTTAGGTTTTGGGGTTTAGGGTTTAGGAGGCGTCATGAAGCGCAATTAGTACCTCAAGAACAATGCTGTAACCCCTGCAACCTCACGTATAAATCACATGTACACTGTCAAGGCCCAGAATGCTGGCGTCTAAACCCTTGAGATGAGGATCTGAGCCGCATGTTTTTTTGACATAAGGCTTCGTACATCATGTGTGCTACCATAAAACCTCATTCAACTTACAAAGCTCCCGATCCAAAACCTCTCCTTGAACATCCTCTAAGACTTAAACCCCTCCATCGACTATTTCTAGAAACTCCTACGCCATAAACCCTTTCTACATATGGGAGTTTCCGAAAATAGGGATCTTAATACCGTACTCTGAATAGTAGGATCCTTATGTATTATAAAGACCCCAGAATAAGGTAAACTCCCATATTGAGGTCCCCTTTGTCCCTAAACGAGTAGCTTCGCCAGCTCGCAGAGGACCAGGGTTGCCTCGGCTCTTCGGAACACCCCAGAAGATGCCAAAACCCCAAGAAAGGAAACCTGCTTGGAGGTCCATAGGTAGTTATAAGTGAGGTCATAAGTAGGGCAACTATAATTATGACCCATATTCGGGCACTTGCAACTCGACATATAACTACCCTTGAACCTCCGAATGGACAATACGAGGGGCCTGAATCGTTAGACTGGGTTTTGCCCGTGTTCCAAACGGGTCTCTTCACAGGACTTTAGATAAGGTTTCACATGGGGTACACTGGATCTAAGGAAGCTCGGCAACCCGAAACCCAACGACGGGGAGCGCTTGGACCGGAAGAGCAATGTCCTGCACAGAGAAATAAGGCCCCCCAAAGGCTCATTGACATAGTCCTCCTAGGTTTTTGTCCTTTTTTGAGACACGCCCCCCAACCGGGGAAAAGCTTTACTTGCACTTTAATTGCGTTGAAAAGCAGTCCCCCGCAGAAAAAAAGAATGCAGTGACAACCCTTATGACCCCAAATCCTAGAGTCCGTATGGTAATTAGTCCTCATAGAACCTCAAACTCCAATATGGGGGTTTCCGAAAATAGCGGACCTTAATATAGTACCTTAAATAGTAGGATTCTTACTTTAACGGACCCCGAATTAAGGTACCCTGTAATTTCGGAAACTCCAAACCCTAAACCCTTTATAGAACCCTTATAGATCCCTTTAAGGAACCCTTAAAGGATCCCTTTAAAGGTACCCCTAATTTTCGGAAGCTTCCATATCTCGACCCCTGGACTACAGGATTCTCGTGTAGGGCTTGAGTCGTCGAGCGCTCTCTGAAGGGCCGAGGATCCTTCAGGAACTCCTTACCACTTCGGGTTTAGGGTTTAGGGGTTTAGGGTTTCGGGCTTAGGGTTTAGGGGGGTTTAGGGTTTAGGGTTTTGGGGGGTTTAGGGTTTAGGGCTTGGGTTTAGGGTTTAGGGTTCTATGGTCGTCACTGTAATGATATCAACAGGGTTTGTGACATATTCGGGCTTAGGGTTTAGAGTTTATGATACCTAGAGTTTAGGGTTTATGATACCAAGAGGGTTTGGGACACATTAGGGAACATTGCAGCATACTAGTCTCAAACATTCAGTGTCCCACGTAGTTGCAGCTCCGGCCGCTGCAGGGCCGATGCAGGCGAGGGCCCAGCCAAATACTCCAATATCGCCGCCGGACAAACCAAGAACCTCCCGCCGTTCAGGGTTGTAAGAAATTTCGGGCTTAGTTTAGGGGTTGGGGGTTCAGTGCTTGGGGTTTGGGTGGGCTGAAGGACTATGAACCCGAACTCCTAACCCGGACATGGTCCAAGGTTTGGTGCATGGGGTGCGAAGTGCGGAAGTCAAGGCATAAACAGACACATGCATTTCCGGGTACTCTGCTCTACATCTATAAACAAAACATACTGCTACAACTTATGAAATTCAAAAAGCAACTATATATAATGTATTAGTGTATATATATATATAGTATAATCCCTAAACCTACACCCCGAACCCTAAACCTTACGAAATGCATCTGGCAGGACCCCAGGCCCAGGCCCCGGATCCCACGCAGAGGGCCTGGTCCGAAAGGAAAGGCACCAGCACAGCACAGAGCATGGCCGCCTGAGAGGTTCAGGGGTTCAGAAGAGATTTAGGGGGTTCAAGGTTTAGGGTTTAGGGGTTTCCACTAGGGCGTTCGGGTTTAGGGATTTAGGGTTTTAGGGTTTAGGGGTTTAGGGTTTAGGGCTTGGGTCGAGGGTTGAGGGTTCAGAGTGTCGGACCGGGCCTTGTTGATTCATACTTCGGGTTCAGGACGCAGTGCAAGGGTCAGTCTATGGTGTAAGGTATGGGATTTTGGATCGGTTCTAATCCATACCGCAAAACAACATTGCACCCCGTAATGCTCCCGCGCCTGCAGCCTAGACCTAGCCAAATCCATACGCGTTACAGCTCGAAAGCCTCAACCCACGCATTGAACTCTCAACACTCACCCTCAACCCTATACCTCACATCCTAAACCCTAAACCCTAACCCAAGGCCCTAAACCCTAAGCCCTAAACCCCTAAACCCTACATAGGCCCTAAACTTTAAACCCCTAAACCTTATAACCCTAAACATCAATCCCCGGCCTGGGCGACCAGGACCGCCCGCAGCATCACGCGGTTTTGGCAGAGGCCGACCCATACGGGAGCGGTGAAGGAGCGGCAGATATAAGCACGAACATTCCTGGTCCGCCCAGAACGTTTCAGAGCTTAGGGTTCGGGGTGTAGGGTTAAGCGGTTACTTTTGAAGGGCTACTACAAGGGTTATGACATAAAGGCGCCGACAAGAATCTGAAGAGGCGGTTCGGGGTTATAGCATAGTATGGTGTTAACAGGAACCGAAACCCTGAGAAATAATCTGGGAAGTTGCTGAGGCCTCTAGAATCGACACTCTTTCACTGATTCTTGCACCCCTAGCCTCTAGGGCTTTGGGCTTCGGGTCTAACGCCTTGCCAGGCAGTCTCGTTCAAACCAAAATAACCTAAACCCCGAACCCCAGACCACCAACCCTCAACCCTAAATGACACTTAAACCCAAGGCCTTGCCCCTAAACCCTGAACGACAAAAACCCTAAACCCTAAACCCTAAACCCCTGAACCCTAAACCCTAAACCCAAAACCCAATAACCCCTAAACCCTAAACCCAAAACCGTTAACCCAAGCCAAAGCTCTCGCTGAGGACCAGGGCGATGAACGCCACCGTCCGCGCCTGCGCCAAAGCCCCGTCCACTGACTTCGTCTCATCGGCCTGCTCCCCAGAGGTTAGGGTTTAGGGTTTAGGGTTTAGGGCCTTAATTAAGGAACATACCTTAACTTATAATAGGATCCCGAATATGATTTAAGGAACGTTCCTCAATTAAGGAATTTTGGAAGGTCCGGCTCGTTGCAGAAAGAGCGACCGGTTTTGTATAGTATGTTATCTAATATCATACAGGGTATCTTATAGAATATCTTATATGATATCTTTGTTCTTTCAAGCCTTATACAGTATCTCGTATAGTGAGTTTAGGCTTGGGTCGGGGTTTGAAACATGAGGATGGGACCGAGGATTTGTGGTTTAGGCTTGAGTCTGGGGTTCGGTCATTGACCTTGGGTTTACTGTAGGGTATGGGGTTTTAGGCTTCGGGTTGCTGGTTTGGAATGGGGTTGTGAAGTAAGCTTGGCTTTAGGGTTTGGGGTTTGAGCTTGTGTTGATTAGGCTTGGTGGGAGTTTAGGCTGGGGTTTGGGGCTGTTGGATGGGGCCAAAGGATGTTGGTTTACGCTTGGGTTGGGTTTTGGGGCTTTGAGGCTGGGTTTAGGGTATGGCATTTAGGCTTAGGCTATACGTTTAGAGTCTAGGGTTGAGCTTGTTCTACCTGAGCTTCCGGCTTACCGCGGATGGAACCCACATGCACGGGAACCCTTGTCTGCGTATAATTAAGGCTTCCTTGGCCCATCTAGTGGGTTTAAGGTTTAGTTTATGGTTCAATCTATATAGATTCGAACCAACACCCTAAATCCTAAGTCCGTAACCCTGAGCCCGCACCCTACGTCATAAACGCCAAACCCAAACCCAAAAAAGCTCAAGACAAAGCCCATTCGCCTCCACATGGCTGAAGATGTCTCTCAGGAAGATTGCCCCCGCAAAGCGATGAAGGGAGATGAGGTAGATGGCAATGATGACCTTTGCGTTCCGGTGTACAGTACGACTGTCGGCTCAAGGCCAGAAACTATCACAAAACTGCTTCCGCTCATGTAACCAGCGGACCCCAACAGAGACCCTACATAACAGCTTCCTCCTGTGGGGAAGCCCTCAACCCTCAATAACGGCATCCTGATTTCGGGGGACCGACAAGTAAAGATACTCCTCAGTTTCAGAAACCCCATCTAGGATGAGCATCGGTAACCCGAGTTCAAAGTAGGGTATGTTCTGTTCAGCGATGTACGACAGGGGATTCTATTTATATGGGAGTTTCCGAAAATAGGGGACCCTAATAATATAGTACCCTAAATAGTAGGATCCTTATTATAAGGCCCCCAAAATAAGGTACCCCTAATTTTCGGAAACTCCCATATTGGCAATCGAGCCCACGGAATCCTGAACCCAGCCCTGGGCGCCACTGCCTCAACCTCCAAACTACTCAAGCCACAACCCCCTTTCGAAGCCCCCACTCTCCCTCATCCCTATACCAAACGGGGTTTAGGCTTATACTAAACCTTATACCTTGGTACCCTCCTTAAGCGAGCCGAAAACGGCTTGCCCCCACACCCTGAAACTCTAAAGCCCTAAACGCCTCATGTGGCACCCCTGATTAATGAAGTTTCTTTCTGCAAGGCTCAGTATGATCCCTTCTTTGGTAGGGGGTTGAGCATCCAGGAGCTCAAATTATCCCTCAACCCGTCTGTTTCAGCTGCATGGATCTGGACAGGTTTTAGAGGCTGAGGTTGAGAGTTTTGGGTTTATAGAAGCCAGCGCATAAAGACAAATCGATGAAAAAGAACCGTACCAAGATGCACCACTTCCGTGATGCCAAGAGAAACACATCTCTCCGGTTGAACCGTCTTCTGAGGATTACAGCAGGGTTCGTTGTGTTTTTTTGGGTTTGGGGCACATTTTTCAAATTTCGTTTGCACAACTTGTTCCACGCAGCTCGGCACGTACTCATAATAGGTGCAACCGAGGTTCAGCGTGGGGGGTCTAATCTGCCCCAAGACCCAATTCTCACTATGAAGGCCCTATTTTGATACCCCGAAAAACACTTGATAAGATCATAAGCCCTTGTATTCTTCACAAGCCCTGAAAAAAACACCCTCAAATTGCAAAACCTTTCAGCTGCTTTGACCAAAGGGGCAGTTGCCAAAACCAAGCCATTCATGCAAATACTGAGCCACATCCAGCCCAGCCTTAGGACGATATAAAGGGCTCCCTGTAGGGATTTGGTGGTTAGGTCTGGGGTTTAGAGTTTCGCCTGTAACCCAAGAAGACTTGCATTGTGCGGGCTCCTTGCTAACACGATCGATCCCCGGCTAGGGATTGGGGTGAGGATACTGTGAGCTTTGTTTGGAGGGTTTTGAAGCTTGGGCTTGTGGGGTCTGGGTTCAGGCACTTGTGGCAGGTTCCATGCCTGGGGCTTCAAAAACGCTGCTAACAGGGGATTGAGGCAGTATGTGCTGCAGCTGGGTTGTAATTCTATGACGAGCAGCTACAGTACCACATTCTTTCGAGATGAAGGCATCACCAACAGCCCTGAACCCGTTGCAGGATGTCGAAGCAGAGGGTCATGAGGACTCTGAAGACGGAAATCCCGAAAAGACAACCCTCTGGCAAGCTCGAAACCCTAGTAGCTTGAGCCAAGCAAGCCGCACAAAATATAGGGGCCTCTATGGATAGCACAGGGGGTTGGGGTGCATCGTAGCCAGTTTATGAACAGATACCCTGGGAATAGAAAGATTAACTTCTCCGACCCTTACATGACACATATGGGTGGTTGTCAAAATTAGGGCCCTTTTTTGGGTACCCTAAATATTAGGTGCCGTATTATAATATTGACAACCACCCACATGAAGTACAGAACGAACCCTGCCGACGGCGAAGCAAGCAGCACGATGGGCTCGTCCCGAGCCCTCGGGGGCTGCGCCAAGATGTCCTTTCAAGGTCAGCTCAAAAGTTTAGAGTTTGCGGCTCAGGCGTTTCAGTGTTAAGGGATTCCGCTGGTTAGGCTGGAAAGACCTTACGCAGACCAAAACTGGTCCAGCTTCCTGCGGAAGAGAAAAACTAACCTTTGACTTGGGATCATAAGAGGATTGTAGCCCACCCAAAAAAGTTAAGGCTCGATACCTCTAGGAAGCCCTGCATCCTAACCCTGAACTGAACACCTGAGCTGCCAACACCTCAAACCCTAAATCTAACACCGTCAGCTCCTGCAACCCTTAAGCATGAAAAACCCGACAACGAAACCCTGACTCCTAACCTAACCTGAGCACCGCATGCCGCATGAAGAGCAACAGCAAACTATGCTCTCCTGCTCCAGAAAGCACTCCAAAAAGCAAAGTGTAGCAGTACCATTCAGACGACCACCAACAACCCACCTCAAAAGCATGCCAACCTCAAGCCTATCTGAACAAGGATAAACGTTCCAAGATTTCCAAAATACACTTAGCGTCTTTGACAAAGAACTAACCATCTTATCTTCAAAAAGCTGTAGGGAGGGAGGTCTTGCATTCTGGATTTAGCTGGTTCTCTGGCTTAGGCGTTCAAGCTTAAGTTGTAGGGTAGAGGCTTGAGCTTTTCACGGCTGAAAGCTTCGGCTTTCGGAATTAGGGCTTCGCCTGGGTTGCAGGATGTGCCCTGAACTGAACCCAATACTATAGGGGCCGTAATAATTAGAATGGGGTTTTGGGGTCTTGATACTATAGTTGTAGTACGGAACCCCCCAAAATAGTATTGGTACTTATTTAGGCCACTATATAGTACCCTTTATGATTCCGGGCTTGCCAAGCTTTCAGGGTCCTTCTCTGCCGGCTCCATCCCCAGTGCGATGGACGGGGGCAAGTCCGTCACCTTCAGGGAGGAGGGTGGTGTAGAATGAACAATTCGAGCAGGGTTTTGGGGGATACTACACCCTAAACCCTAAATCCCTATACTCATGTTGCAGTAGGAACCCGCAGGAACAAGAGTGGGGATTCTTTAGGGCCCTACATTAGGAGGAGGAGGGTGGCTTCTTCTTTGGGGGGCCTCACAGCCTGACCTACACCGCAAAAACCCCAAACCCGAATCCCCTCCACCCTGAACCCTCAAGCCTAAACGCTAAACCCCTAAACCCCTAAAGCCCTAAAGCCTGAACCCTAAAACCCTAAAAAAACTAAACCCTCAACCCCTAATAAATCGTGGGGCTTTCCCTTTAGAATCGGAGAGTTGGGCGTTTTAGTCTCGGTTTCAAGGTCCGACTGCGGGTTCAGGAGTTCTCTGCCATCATCACAGGGTAGGAATCCCACCCCAAGCCCTTAACCCCTGATTCCCAAAATATCCCAAAACCCTTAGCCATAACCCTGAGAAACGCCGAGACACTGAATCCCTGCACCCTCAACTCTAAAGCCCTAAGCCCCAAACCCCTACATCCTACGTTAAACCCGAGTTCGGCTCAGCTCAGTTGGGTGTAGCCAGTGTAGCGGGTCTTTCTTGACTCCGTGCTTCGAGTCTTACCGGTTTTAGAGCTTGGGGGTTTAGGGTTTCAGGGTTTAGGGCTCAGGGTTGAGGGGTGAACGCGTTTACGAGGGTCAAGAGGGTCGCACGAAACCCGTCTGTGAACAAGTGTCGTTGCAAGGCCGTCTTTGTCCAAGTCCGGTTTTCCGAATCCCTAAACCCTAAACCCGAATCCCTGTGCACCACGATCAGGAAGAGGATCTGCATGGGCGTTCGCATCAGCGGGATGTCCGCCACCACGCAGAAGAAGATCTGGATCACTTCGGCAACGTGCACCGACATCACGAAGGAAACCTTGATGTTGGTATGATATTATGGTATGTTACGAGGTGTTGAAAGGGGCCAAGGGTGCTTCTCGGAGTTTAGACCTCGGATTTTGGAAGGGTTGCGTAGGGGGACTTAGGATTCAGGAATGACCTGAGGTTTAGAGTCGTTTAGAGACTGTCAGTCTTGGTGATTAGTACTACAAGTAGCACGAGAGGTACTACTACACGATGGCAGTCCTGGCCATGTCTAGTCATTGTTGCTTGTCTACGATGCTACTGCCATGCCGTTGGTACTATTCTTACTGCTTTCTCTTGCTGTCCTATTTAAACTTGCAAGTATAGCTTGTGGTAGTAGCTGCAGTCCTGCAACTAGGATACCTAGTACAATGATGATTCTGGTTATGCTGCCACATTACCCTAACTACCTAGGATACCCAGTAACCTAAGAATAAAAAGGCCTCTCTTTTTGGTATTGGGTAACTTTATAAGGAACCTAGGACTACAAAAAGGGAATAAGGGTACTACTGGGCATCCTAGCTACTGTTCTTCTTGTTGCGACATGTTCGTTCAGGTTGAGGCTCAGGGCTCTGGGTTTCGACTGTGTCGTGTAGGGTTGTCTTCATGATTCTAGCAACCCAGAGACTCCAATATCCCTTAATTAAGGAAGATTCCTTAAATCATACTCGGGATCCTACTATGCTTTAAGGTATATTCCTTAATTAAGGGGTATTGGAGTCTCTGGGAAAGCTCAGGGTGCAGCATTTCAAGCCATTTTGGGGTCTGCTGGATTATTTGTCTTCTGAGGGGTCTGTAGAGGGGCATGTGACTACTTCTTGGTCAGGAACTATGTTAATACCCATTGTGCAGCCCGCTTTATTGGACCCAGAGCCCCAGCAGCCTAAAACCTGCTTCTGGGAGGCCTCAAAAGGTGGGATGAAGGTAGGTGGGATATTCCCAAATAAGAGTCCTTATATAAGGGATCCTTAATCCTACCTGCCTTCATCCCACCTTTTGAAGCCTCCGAGCTTCACGGCCAGAAGCTAGCTTCTGGATTCCGGCGTAAATGGAGCGGCCCTTCTCGACGGCACGCACAATGGAGGTGAAGTTGTCGTCCGTCAGGATCATCTCCGAAGCGCCTTTGGCCACCTTGCTTGAGGGTATGGTGTTTGGGGCTTCTCTGCCCTTTTTGAGAAAAGCTGACCATGCAGAGATACTGCGAGAAACAAAGGAACGGCGAGGACGACGAGGCAGGGCGAACAGAAGCCCCTCAACCCCAAAACTACCCACAACCTGACATCCTAAGCTCCCGAACCTCCCAGCTCTCGCAGAGACTCCAATATCCCTTGATTAAAGAATATACCTTCAATTATAGTAGGATCCCTAGTATGATTTAAGGAATATTCCTTAATTAAGTAAGGGTATTGGAGTCTCCGGGCTCCCCTAAACCGTGATTAAACCTAAATCCAACCCGTGATGCTTACGACCGCGAGCCCCGGCGAGCCTCGGTACCCTGCAGGCCCATGGCCACACCAATGCGGGCCTAGACGGATGGGTCGGAAAGTTTGGAAGGTTTCAGGGATTTGCGCTCAAGGATTACAGGGAACTCCAGAAAGTTGGAATATGGTTTCATGGTAGGATACCCTATAATTTACCATAGAAGGGTTAGGATAATCATATTCCAACTTTCTGGCTTTTACCTTAAAGGAGTTTTGGGACTTGGGAGTCTAGAGCTCAGGGTGTGGCGGTTCAAGGCTTCAAGGTTTCGGGCGTAGGGCGGCGCTTAAGGGTTTGAGGTGACTTCATTGTCTAGGGTTGGGGATTTGGGTTTGGGGTTGAGGTTTCAGATTGGGAATGCTGCATTTAGGATATGGAGGCTTGACAAGCTGCATTCTTGGCCAAGAGCTGGATCGCTTACCTGTTTGACAGGGCTCTTGGAGCCATTTCGGAAGCATAGTGACTTGCTTCAACCCGGCACGAAAGGCATGCTCCGCCGACCGCCCTTGCGAAGAACAACGCGATCCATGATTTTAAAGCCTAAAACCCCAAACCCACAAACCCCTAAACTCCTACACACCGAGACCTTGTCCCCTATACCAAGAAAAAGCCTCCTGTAGGTTTGCAGCTCTGAGACCTTCCCGATCCTGGGTCTTAGACACAAAGGGTTCCCTAATGCACAACCTTCAGCAGTAGGATCCGAGCCTTACAGCATAGGATCCTCATCACCAAGACCCCAAGAAGGAGAACCTCGTTCTAACAAGGAGACCTTTGGACCCTTCGGAAAACCCACCTCGTGGAGGGCCGGAGCATCGTTGACACCATCACCGGTCATCGCGCCTTACCCATACGCGCCGCAATCATTAGACTGAGGATGACTGAAGGACTTCCAGGGCGTCCTAAGCAGCTATTTTGGGGTTTCTGAAAGATTTTATGACAGGTGCCTTAGTCATGTCCAGCCTTTCTCGAGGTTTTAGATGGTTCTTTGTGGGGGGGCTGCATAATTAGAGCAAGGCTTCTTGAGCGGTTTATGTTATAGCTTGAATATACCAAGGAAACATTCCACCAAATTGTTCCGGCCCTCCTGCCACTGCTACTTGGGGCTGCCAAACTCAGTGGTTAGGGCTTGCAGGTCCAGGGTTAGGTTTCCTGTCCAGAAATCTATATAGGGCTTCGGATTTCGAATATAAGGTTAGGAGGCTAGGGTTGCTTTTTGCACCTCGAGAAAGTCTTGTCTCATGGGTATGCAAGGCCTGCACGTTCTTCTCAGGCTTCCCTAGGCTGCATCCGCCTTCACGTACCTAAATCATATCGGAGTCTCGTGGTTGGGTGTCTTGGAGGGAGAACAACCCACCTACACCCTGAAAACATCGAATTTTCCGAGGGTTCCGATAGTTCCGCATTTTCCTTGCACCGTAAACCGGAACGCCTGCCTACTTCCCATGGGCCGCTCTCCTGTCTGGAACTCTAAGATTTATCATGTGGGGCTTCCGGGCGCAATGAAGGCAAAGAGCCCCCAAAACTAAAAGCCGACATCCTAAAGTCCGTGGAAGACACCCATGATTTCCTGAACTGCAACAAACATGCTGCTCCCAACCCTGTGGGAGGCCATGTGAGAGTTTCCGAAAATTAGAGGGGTACCTTATTGTGGGGTCCTTAGAGAAAGGATCCTACTTTTTGGGGTACTATGTTAGGGTCCCCCATTTTCGGAAGCTCCCATGTGAATAAAAAGGGCTCCCTTTTCGGTATTGGGCAACTTTATAAGGTGCTAGATTCCATGTCCAAAAGTGAGGCGAGGCCCTGGAGCCCCCGAAGCTTCCGGCCGGGGGACAGACCATGCCCTGGCGCTGCAAGGACTTCACCTGGGTTATAGTATATGTAGGATATATACTCTACATAATATATATATATATATATATATATATAGATAGATAGTGTACAGTGTATATGTATATATAGTATATACAGTGTGTATCTATTTATAGCATATACAGCGTGTGTGTGTGTGTGTGTGTGTATATATACATATATAAAGAGTATACATAGTATATATATGCACAAAGGCGGCGACAAAGGCTTCAAGACTGAAGGCTTTGGGATTTGAGCTCGGGGTTCAGGAAGTGAGGTTTGGGTCCAGGGCTTGGGGTTTTCGGGTTGGGGCTTCGTTTTGCTTCTTTGTTTAGAATCATGCTGGAAGCCATGCGTTCCCTTCTTGTTAGTATACTTTCGAAGCTAGGAACTGTGGCTATTATGTTAATTATGAATGTGTTCTTTCTCTTGTTAGTGTTAGTATTGATAGTGCGATGATTATGATTGTCGTTATTGCTATTGTTGCTAATCTTGTTACCACTTTTCTTCCGAGTAATATTCCGAGTAGTTTTGTTGTTGTCATTGTAACTGTTGCTATATGGCGATCATGACGGTGGCTGCAAACTTGGAAACGATCGCTGCTACATTCCCATATTTCCGTCATGACGGAACTATGTGTTCTTCAAAGTATGACTGCAAGATTTCTGGGACTACGAGCTGCGGCAATACACACACATGCTGACAGCCTTAACACTCTCATTCACACATATAGTCGTGGTAAATTGCGACATACGATGATGACTATTCGCACCGTCATTACTCTTGACAGCTACTGCTCCTGTTGCAGTCTCTAACTGCTTCATGTTACTCGAGTTACACGTGATACCAGTATGTTATTGTTGCTTTCTATCTAGCCTATCTGAATACTTTGCTACTATACCTACTACTACCACTACCACCACCACTACCACTACCACTACCACTACTACTACTACTGCTGCTACTACTGCTGCTGCTACTGCTACTGCTGCTACTACTGATACCACTGCTACTACTACTACTACTACTACTACTACTACTACTACTACTACTACTACTACTACTACTACTAGTACTACTACTACTACTACTACTACTACTACAAGTACTACTGCTGCTGCTGCTGCTACTACTACTACTGCTACTACTACTACTACTACTACTACTACTACTACTACTACTACTACTACTACTACCACACTACCACTACCACTACTACTACTACTACTACTACTACTACTACTACTACTACTACTACTACTACTACTACTACTACTACTACTACTACTACTACTACTACTACTACCACTACCACTACCACTACCACTACCACAACCACTACCACTACCACTACCACTACCACTACCACTACCACTACCACTACCACTACCACTACCACTACTACTACTACTACTACTACTACTACTACTACTACTACTGCTGCTACTGCTAATGCTACGACTGCTGCTACTGCTATTGCTCCTGCTAATACTACTTCCTCTACTTTCGTTTTTTCTCTTATTGTCAGAGCCCAGCAGCGATCTGCAGCTTGTCCGCCGGCTTCGCCCGAGCGAAGACACGCACGGAAGACGTCAGGGCATCCATCTCGTCGTCTGGCAGATACTCCTCGACGTGAGGGTTCTTTGAGAGTTCAACAAAAAAAGGGAAGGTCTAGGGCTCTCAGGGTTTATGGGTTGGGCTTTCAGCCAAGGCGTCTATAGGGGCTCAGGGTTTAGGGTAAGGCTTGGAGTCTGAGGCTTGGCTGGAGGTTCTTGGGTTGAGGCACCTGGTGAAAATCCGCGCTTCGCTGGCCCACCCAAGATCCCTTCAAATAGCAAGACTCAGCATCAGGTTGCTAGTATATTCCCCAAACCCCAGGCCCCAAAATGTAACCCTTAGCCTAGCCTCAACCCTGAAGTGCATAGCTGGCAATCCCTGGACCCAAAACCCCAAACCTCCTCAACCTTAATAATTAGAGCAGGGGTTTAGTGGTTCCTTATTGTAGTTACAGTCATAATGTACCTCCCAAACCCTAGTATAGTCATTAAGGCCCCTACATATCCCTAAACCCCCAGCCTGAACCCTCCTTACAGCAACGCCGAACCCCAGACGGGAGTCCTCGTCCACGTAAGGTCGCAACGCGCCACAGTCTACAGCAGACCCAACCAAGCTGTCCTCCGAAACTTCAATGTTCAGGCTTTACAGTAGAAGGATATAACCTCAACCCTAGCATCCCTGAGCCAGAAACCATCAAACCTCAGCCCCAAACCCTAAACTTCAAGCCTTCAGATGCTGAAATTAAAGAAACAGTGCTCGGATCTCTGCATTTAGCCATCAGCGGCAGGACTTCGGGCGCATCCCTAACGAACTCGTCAGGCTCAACAGATGACAGAGGGCTTTGGGGCTCGGGTTTAGTGTTTCGGGTTCGGGTCTAGGCTTGGGGAGCTTCGAGTTGGTCCTTTTGAGGCGAGACAGAACCTGGGCCGTAACTTGAGATTGGATGCTTAGGAACTTTGGGGTTGCGGATTTAGGGCTTAAGGTTTAGGGTTCAGGGTTTAGGGCTTAGGGCTTAGGGCATTTGGGGCATTTGGGGTTGTGGCGCGGGGCCCTCCAAGTATTTGTCATCGCTTCAGCCGTGTCTCTTTACACTTCGATGGCGCGGCTTCAACCACTCTCAGGCAAATGGAGACTGGCCTAACCCTAAACCCTAAAACCCCAAACCCTAGAACCCTAAACCCCTAAACCCTCGTCGTCAACCCTCGAAACCTCGGCAAGCCGGCCTCTGGCTGCAGGATCTCGACGCGCCTGGCGATGGCCACGGCCGTTTTCAGGTAGTCGCCGGTGATCATGACCTAGGGCTGTGCATTGCCTTGTAAAGAGTTTGTGTTTCGAGCGCCTCCTCACAAGAGGTGAAGGGTGTTGGAGTCTGGGGTGTGGCGTGACTAACAAAGCGATTCGGGAGCAGCAAGGTCAATTAAAAGACAAAGGCCTGTCCCACTCGCACCCCAGACACGCAGCAATCCTGAAAAAGATCGCCACAAGCCACACAAACCCGAACAATACTCCCGACCCGAACCCGACACGCATTTGTAGATGGGCGCCCAAGGCAAAAGCAAAAAGGCAAAATCCGTACAAAACCCACCTAAAATTAAGCACAGAAATGCACAGAACTCCCTTCATCAACCCGTCTACTATCTACCCAACCCAAAGAAAAAAACAGACCTTAGATCATGAATTATGTTCCAATCTTGTATTCGTAATTATTTCGGCCCCTATAGTACCCTTTCTGAACTTGTATTGGGAATTCGTTCGGCCCCGATTGTGACCCCTTCTGGGCTTTGGGCCACGCGAATGCCCGCCCCCCGGGCGGCGACGACGGAGTCCCTGAAGGGCGTGGGAGATAGGGCTTTGCTGTTAAAACCCTAAACCCTAAGGTTAAGGTTCAGAGTTTAGGGCTTAGGGTTTAGTAATTTAGAGTTCAAGCTTCGGGCTTAGGGTTCCGGATTTAGTATTTAAGGTTTGTATCAAGCCTTGGTTATCAAGCTTTTATGAAGCTTTGACGTGGTTTTGTAAGGGCTTTTTGTGTAAAGGTCTTAGAATTTACTGTCAAGGGTTTAGGATTCTATGCTTCGGATGGGTGTTAAACCCAAGCCTGCCATCGTAATGCTTATGCGTATGGTCACTAAACCCCAACACCCCCAGCTCCAATATAGAAGCCTGGTGCACCGAACCGCGCGCCCGTCTTGCATTAAGTTTAAACGGTACACAAATGCACTTGGCTGTGCATGGCAACCGGGAGAGAAAGACAGGTGCATTGAAGATGAGACTAGGGGTTTTGGTGAATACAACCGGTTATCCCGAACCCACGCACACAATCTCTAGAGTCGGACCTTACCAAAACCGCCCAAACAATTGAACCCCAACCACACAACCGCCGGCGCTGAACCCTCAGGCTCGTAGTCGTTTATTCTCTGTCACACCTTAACCCCGCTCCCTCATGAAAAGCAAAACGAACATCTTCACAACACACCACATTTCCGAGACCACTTATGATGATTTAGGTCTAGGATCCATAAGGTTTTGGGTTTCGAGGATGTCGGTTTCAGGACTTATATAGTGTTTAGACTTTGGGGTTTAGATAGGATCGCCTGCAAGTCCTCCAAGTATAGCCGTCCCTTCCGGCCCGTACACGAAACCCAACAATCCTAAGTTGTTCAGTTCAGGGTTTAGGGCCTAGGGCGTCTTCCCGCGCAGAGGGTGAGAATCTGTGCTATTATGGCTGGTGGCACCTCAGACCAGGGTGATCCCAAATGGCTAAAACAAGTTCCGGGCCTCACACCCTCGCGGTCAGGATCCAAAGAGGCTACGAGTCCCAGGAGTACCAGCTCCTTGCCGAACCTCCCAAAGAGCGCTTTAGTGTTTAGGCGGCCCTGAGGTTACTTTCCAGCATGACTGTATTGAGGAGCCCTGAGGCACTAGTACAGGTAAATTGTTCAAGCCCCTAGATTGAGATTCGCGTCTGGGGTGTAGGGTTCAGGCTTGAGGTTTAGCACACTACATTACGGATCCTGCTATCTGCACTCCGCGAAACTTGGGTTTCAAAACACTTTCCGAGACGTGTTCATTCGGGTTCTAGAGGGGTTGTATACAGCTAGTCTTCGGAAACCATAGGAATGAGGGTTGGGTGTTTCGGCGTCCAGGGTCAGGTATTCTCAGTGGTTTAGGGTTTCGGGCTTCAAAGGACTTTAAAGCCGGAAAAAGAGTTTGCAGTGGGCTGCCTTATGTTTTCATGCAGCACGCGCTGATACAAGGAGCCTCCATAACTAGAGCCGCCTAGAGTATATAGAGACAATAGGGGGATATGGTTGCTAAGTGTTCCAACCCCCCTTTCTGGGTGGTTGTCAAAATTAGGAACCCTTTTCAGGCGCCCTAAATTTAAATACTAGGTGCCGTACTATGTTAGGGACCCCAAAAGGGACCCTAACTTTGACAACCACCCATTTGTGGCGTAGGTTGCGGGCTCGGGGTTTGGAGCTTTGGTTTAGAGCTTGTAGAGTTAATTAGGCGAGGTCGCGGGCAAACAGCACAGCCTAAACCCTAACGAGTAGACTTTTCAGCTTCAAGCCGGATGGAACCATCAACCCCACCCCAAAACCCTGAACCCTAAACCCTAATCCTACAACCCTGGAAGCAATTCAAACACCAAACTCCCGAACCGTCCAGAGCCCGGGCTTAATGCTGCCATACAACCTCCCCTTAATGCCTTAATGTGTGTACAACCTGAGTTTTCAAACTTCTTAAGCAAAAACCAAAACCTCGAAACCCGGTAGGACCACTTCCGAGACTGTGGAAGAGCCCCACAAACAAAACATGCCTCTCAAACTTCACCTCATAACCCCCAAATGCGAAACCCTAAACCCCCTGAGCCCCCAAAACCCGAAGAACTACACTTAAACCGTATCAGCGGTGGTAAGCATCACGACTCTGCCTGTCAAACTTCTCATCCGCAGTCAGCTCTTCGTCCAGGGCCGAGCCGGCAGGTACGAAGCCCACGGCCACGGCGAGGACACGGAGAGCCTCTCATGGCATCGAGGGCTTAGGGCTTAGGGTGGCTTCGGGGTTCCTTGTAAGGGCCCCCTTAACGAACATGATTGTAGGGTTCTCTACCGGCTCCACAATGGTAAGGGCTTAGGTTTACTGTTGTCAAAAGCAAGTGCGGAAAGGAGAAGTGCGGCAGCATCAGCAGCAGGAGCAACAACAACAGAGCAGAAGCAGTGGCAGTAGCTGCCGGTAGCAGTTGGAGGACACCCAGCAGGAGGAGGAGGAGGACGAGGAGGAGGAGCATTAGCAGCAAAATGCAAGATTAGTAAAGCCCTTTAAGTCAAAGGCGAAAGCCAAATCCTTCGATATCTCAAACCTTCCGGCTTGAGGTGACGGCAAAGGTAGCCTAAGCTCCAAACACGGTTCTTGTTGAGGAAATTAACTCAAGGTACGTTGACCAGAATACAAGGAATACATTTCATGCATGCTGTTTGCTCTTTGAAGCACCAGGTAAAGCCCAAAAACCTCAAAATCTCTCTAAATTCCCGGAGCTTTGCGTCTTCCGTGCGAGCCAGGGGCCTCGTCCGAGTAGCGATCCACCACGGCAGAGACCCGGAGCCGCTCCTCCTGCCCGAAAACTCCTAGCATAGAGGAGTTTAGGGTTTAGAGTTTTAGGGCAATTAGAGTATTACAGTTTGGCATAGAGGAGTTTAGGGTTTAGGGGTTAAGGGCCATTAGACTATTACAGTTTGGCATAGAGGAGTTTAGGGTTTATAGGGGTTTAGGGCAATTAGACTATTACAGTTTGGCATAGAGGAGTTTAGGGTTTATGGGGGTTAAGGGCAATTAGACTATTACAGTTTGGCATAGAGGAGTTTAGGGTTTACGGGTTTAGGGCAATTAGACTATTACAGTTTGGCATAGAGGAGTTTAGGGTTTAGGGGTTAACGGCAATTAGACTATTACAGTTTGGCATAGAGGAGTTTAGTGTTTAGGGGTTTAGGGCAATTAGACTATTACAGTTTGGCATAGAGGAGTTTAGGGTTTAGGGGTTTAGGGCAATTAGACTATTACAGTTTGGCATAGAGGAGTTTAGGGTTTAGGGGTTAACGGCAATTAGACTATTACAGTTTGGCATAGAGGAGTTTAGTGTTTAGGGGTTTAGGGCAATTAGACTATTACAGTTTGGCATAGAGGAGTTTAGGGTTTAGAGTTTTAGGGCAATTAGACTATTACAGTTTGGCATAGAGGAGTTTAGGGTTTAGAGTTTTAGGGCAATTAGACTATTACAGTTTGGCATAGAGGAGTTTAGGGTTTAGGGGTTAAGGGCCATTAGACTATTACAGTTTGGCATAGAGGAGTTTAGGGTTTAGGGGTTAAGGGCCATTAGACTATTACAGTTTGGGTTTAGGCATTTACTTTCCCGCCCAGAGGCACAAGCCTGGCACAGCGGCAAAACCTCGCCGCTGGGGCCGACGACATTGCTGCAGCTCTCCAGGACCCAGTTTGGCGCTCCCTTGCAGACGGTGAGTGCCACGGTGCCTTCCCAGCAGGGACACCGACACTTGGAAGTACTCCCAACCGCTGCTCAACTAGATACCCGACTGAGTATCCCCAAACAAGCCGGCCTTCGGGTAGCTGCAAGCCGTTCTCGCAGAGCTCGCGCCTCCCGCTCATGTCGCTGACCGTCAGCATCATCTTTCTCGCCGAGGAGAACCTGAAGTCATCTGACTCATCTGGGTGGTTGTCAAAATTATGGTCCTCTTTGGGGTCCCTAATATAGTACGGCACCTAATATTTAGGGTACCCAAAAAGGGACAATAATTTTGACAACCTTTGGGGCTTCATAGGGTTTTGCGGGTTCAGGGGTTTAGGGCTTCAGGCGTTGGAGCTTTCAGTGTGTTCAGGGTGCGGGTTGGCTTCGAGAACCCTCTAACCCTGTAGTTACTTGTAAGGTTTACGAAAGCTCATCAGCCTACCGCTAAACCCCATATCCGAGCACCCTAAAACCCTACAACCGCCATTTACGGCGCGCAATTTCGGTGAGTGCGCTTGGAGGTCCAGGTCTGGTTTGGGAGGGCGGGGTTCTGGGTTTAGGAACGGTTTAGGGTTTAGGGTTGAGGGTTCTGGGTTTAGGATTTACTGGGGTTTAGGGTCTACTAGGACCCCCCGAGTGCCCCTTAATGGGCTCTTTGCTTCCTTATTAAGAGGTAATTAAGGGTTCTGGGTTTAGGATTTACCCATAGTCTCCATTGTAGTTCCTTTTCGGGGTTACCTTGTAGGATCCTTAATATATAACTGGTTAAACCAAAAAAAAAAGGAGCTACAATGGAGACTACAGGTACCCCCACTTGAACGCCCAAACCTTCAAACTCTAAATCCCTCGACCCCCCAAACCATCCACCAAAGCGTCAAACAGAAAACGCAAAATGATGCAACAAAAAACATAAGGTGTCCTGAGCCTCAGGCACCCTACAGACCACCCTAGTCTGAAGAAACTCCCAGATCACCGAAGCCCTAAACCCAAACCGCCCCTCAAATGGCCTAAGAAGCCCTAAACCACAAGCCCCCAAACCCTATATAAGCCCTAAACCCTAGACCCGAAACCCAAAACCCAAATGGCCTAAGCGGGCCTAAGCCTTAAGCCCAGCTCAGGAGCGGTATGTTTAGCAGCCGCCGGTATTGACCCGCTAGGTCACCTACGCCGGCCTGGGACGAGGGGGGCAGACCGGGCTTTTAGGCCCTACTTTTTTGGTAGGGTCCCTAAAAATGCCATACTAGGGTTTATACTAAGAACCTACAAAAAAGTAGGGTTTGGTAGTTTTAAGGTAGAGGGTTAAAAAGGCATGTCAAACAAAGCTTCGTGTAAGATTGAAGGTTTAGGGCTTAGGGCTTCTCACGGGGGAAAATACTAGGGCTTGGTGATTTAGGGCTTGATTGGTACCGTGCTGTAATCGAAATTGGGGATATGTGATATTTCGGTTATTTCACGCTTGCATAGTTTAAGAACTTTGCCAGGGGGGTGTCAGGTTTCTATGATAATTTCTACAAGACTCTGGGTCTTCAGGAGTTTGGGATTTGGATTTAAGGTTTAGAGTGTTGTATTCTGGATTTCGGGATGTCTTCAGGACTCCTTCGGTTTGATGTGGGATCTCAACCCTACAACCCAGTAGAACCTATGCCTGAAACCTGAACACTTAGAGCATTGGGCTATGAAATAAGGCCGTAAACCCCGTCAACCCTCAACCCTAGAACTTTAAGCCCTAGTGCCTAAGCCCTCAAGCCGTAACCCTGAACCCGAAACCCTAAAATCCCTAAAATGGCGGAGCCTTCTGGGCGGCCACCACCAAAGGCGCCTCCGAAGAATTGCCGCGGTACTGCCAGGCCTTCCAGTAAGATGCAGCGTTTTGGGTCATGTCGGGCTTCCTATTTAGAGGGGTTCTACAAGGGTTACTAAAAGGGCTCTGATGCGGAGGGACCTCGATCAATACTTCGAGTAGCGTTTTGGTGTACAGCTTTACTGTTATCATCATCTGAAGGAACCCTGGGGAGGCCATGTTGGCAGTTGGTGATGCTTCCGGCTCCCAGCGTTTAGGGTTCAGGGCTCAGGGTCTGAGATCTCGTGACTGTTTGAGATAGCTCTTGCAACTCCGTATGGGTCAGTACATGTCATCAGTATAGCCAGTTTGCAAAGTCAAAATTGCAGCTCGCAAAAGTTGCTTGAATGGGGTTACAGGACTTCTGCAGGCTAAATTTGGACCTGCAGCGCTTCAGTTGAAGGTTATTTGAAGACTGCTGCGAAGTAAGTTTCGACTTTTTTCGGTGTTCAGAGTTGAGGCTTCAAGGGTGAGGTTTTTGCAGCCCAGGACTTCAAGTTTAGGACTGTGAGCCCTAAACCCTAAACCCTTTGGGCTTTGGGCTGTCGGGGGTCTGCGGCTGAAACTTGCCGGGCGCCGGGATTTTGGGACCTCCGACTCACTGCTGAGCAGCCCTCCCGACAACTCTGCCGAAACCCCACCACTCCCAAACCCCCACAAGTTTGCCAAACCACCCAAAACTCCCAAAGCCACAATTGCAAAACCCTGCTTGAACTGAAACCGCAACCCTGTCGCCTGCACCCCCGTCTCGGGATCCGTGGCTAGGAAGAGCTCTGTGTCGCTGCACAGAACCTGGGCCCGCATTACTTCTTAACGCGAAGGAGATTACGCTTAACAGGGCCTTTAAATTAGGAGAAATCGAGTTCCCATCAAAACCTCGAGGTGCTGATTTTCGGGTAAATACTGTGTCAGGACGTTCACAACTTCGAACTGTTTTGGCAACTGTCCAAGCCCGCCTCAGTCTCTGTGATCTTGAGGTTACAGAAAAAGCCTAAACCCCAAACCCAAACTGCCTAACCCTAAACCCTGAAGCATAAACGCTGCCCTAAACCCTGCACCCTGGCCCTGAACCAGAAACCCCTCAAAGCAGAATCCTAACGGCGGTGCAGGGACCGCGGCGAGGAGGGTACTGCGCACCCCGAGGTCGGTGTGGCAGGCCGTACCCGGATGCCCCTGGCGACAGTTGGTCATGATGAGTCCCGCATTACTGTCACTAGTACTATAACCATTGCTGTTCCTGTTCTATTACTGTTACTGGTACTCTTACTATTACCAAAATATACGATTACTGTTATTAGTACTGTTATTTGCTGTGACTATGACTCTTACTCATAATTACCACCAGAACTCTTACGTTTAATTACCACCACAACTACGACGACTTCTTTTTATACCATCGACGTTGTTATTCATGTTCTCTTCTTATCGATGATACTACTACACACTATTATGACTGTCAGTGCTGCTGCTGCTGCCGCCGCCGCCGGCGACGACGACGACTACTACTGCTACCACTACTGCTAGCAGGCACTACCACTACGACGACGGAGACGACGGGCAGGTTGCAAATTGTCAAGAACTCCAACCGGAACTGCACCTAACGTGTATGAACCAACGAAGCTCCCGGAAACACACTGAAGCCATATATCCCGGTCAGGTCAAGGAAAACACCCAACACAACGTGTTAAAACTCCAGTCCTGCAACTCAACCAAACACCACCACCCCAAAATCTATATCAATACTCTAAACTTTGCAAGAACCCCCAAGTCCCAGGACCCAAAATACCTACCTCTACAATCTTAAACCTTCATGATCAAACCCTAAAACCTCAAAAGCCGGAATGCTAACATTCCTAAACCCATAAACCCTCCACCCTCGCGACAAAAAGAAACTGTCTACACCTGATCTCGGTGCCGCGCCTCCCTGTCAATGCGACCAATCGTTGGATCGAAACCCTGGCCAGTGACGCTGTAGCCCACGCCGCAGGACCACCTGCCGCATTTAGGTTTTTGGGTTTGAAGGAGGTTAGTTTTAGGTTTGTGGGTCTGGGGAGTTTCATGCTTAGGGGTCTTGATCTTAAGCAACACTTGCACTGCTCCTGATCATGTCTTACTGGATAGTTCGACACGACCATAGCCTTTGCAATGGATTCTGGATTCGGGATATCTTGACAAACAGAAGACACCTTGTACATATCTCATGTCGCCTGGTCGTTGTGATCGCCCTACACAGCTCGAGAATACTTCATTGTCTGCAGCTTCAGGGAATGACTTTCAGTGTTCGCAGCATCAGATAGGAGTGTTCAAGGTTTAGAGCCGCATGAGGCGTAGGGTTTACCTTGTTAGCCTCAATCACAAACCCAAACCCTCGTCCAAGTGACCCCGCCAAACCGTTAATAAACCCCACATTTTAGCTTAACTAAGCTTCAATTCAAGGGAGCCCCGCTTTAGTGATCATGGGCGTAGGTCCAGGCACGAAACCGGGCCTGGGATTTGAGGTATTGGGGCGAAAACCTATGAAAGGTGCATTCCGATACTAGCTTTTCTCCTATGGAATACATGGGAAAGGACCCATCACTCAAAGCCACACCCCTGTAAACCCTTATCGAACCCGCCTTAGTAACCTTGATTCATAGTAAAACTTGTAGCCTACTATTATAGTAGCCTTTTTTGTCAACGTTGTAATAAAGTTTATACTACTGTACCCCTTACCAGAACCCTCCGTCCCCCCGGGCACATGTTGGTCATGGTCATCTTCCCCTCGGTGAGGGTTCCCGTCTTGTCCTTGGACTGGGAGAGGAGGACTCGGCATGTGCGGGAGGAAGGGCTTCAAGCCTAAGCCCAAAACACTAGGCCCTATACTTTAAACCCTGAACGCTGAACCTTAGGGTTTAGGGTTTAGGCTTTCAGGTTTGAGGGTCTAGGCATACGGAATCCTCATCTAGCCCGATGGCTTCAAACCCTGGACTCTTATATCGCCCTACTACCAGTCAGTAGCAAATACTGAACACAGCACGACCAGAAATCCGTCAAAGCCAGTCCGAAGACCTACAAAGGCTCAATATCGAAGCCTCCAACACCCTTCCTTTCAAGCCTTGCTATCAACACAGATGGGAGTTTCCGAGAATTAGGGGTACCGTATTTTGCGGTCCTTATGACAAGGATCCTACTATATAGGGTGCTATATCAGGGTCCCCTATTTTAGGAAACTCCCAGATAACCTCATCACGCCTCAAAGTCCCGCACCCTAAACCCTGAATCCCAAACTTAGACCCTTAACCCTGAACCTGAAACCCTACACCCGGAACTCTCTAAACCCAACAGCCTAAGCTTCGAACCCTAGGGTTTAGGGTTTAGGGATTATGGAGGTTTAGGGTTTAGGGTGGCCCCCCTTTAGGGGATTTTAGGGCTCCCTCTTAGCCAGGACGAGGCCGGCGTCGCTGCAGATCACCGAAGCGGATCCCAGGGTCTCCACGGCCGCGATCTTCCGCACCTCCAGGGTCGGCTTAATATACTATGTTTGAGGGGGTTCCTTCTTATATATATATATATATATATATATATAGATAGATAGATAGATAGATAGTTTAATGGTATTATAGATAGTATCATGGGCCCAAAACCCTATTCTATTTTTTTGTTAAGGCTTAAGGGTCTAGGGTTTAGAGTTTAGGGCTTAGGGTTCAGGGATGAGTTGAGGGCTTCAGTTTAGGATTTAGACTTCAGGGTCATGGCGCTTGGGACTTAGACTTTGCGACGCTTTCGTAGCTCCACCCTAAACCCTAAACCACCTGCACGTTCTTCCTGACCATTTCTTGGCAGCCGATAGCCAGGGAGATGGTCATGCACAGCCTTGGATGCACGGTTTAGGGTTTAGGGTTTAGGGTATAGGGTTAAGGGTTTAGGGTTTAGGGTATAGGGTTCAGGGTTTAGGGTTCAGGGTTAAGGGGTTTAGGGTTCAGGGTTTAGGGTTTAGGGTGAGTCCTGAAACCCTCAAGCTGCAGACCGACGAAGCAGCACCCTGGAGCCCTAAGCCTTAAAGCTCACTGGCCCAAAACCCAAGGGAATAAGAGTTGGAAACTTTCAGAATCGACTAACTACCTTGTATAGTTGACAGCCAATAAGTAAGACCCTGATCGCCCTGCAAACTCAAGCTTTGCCATCACACAGCCCCCAGTCTAACGGACTCTCAACCCCCAACCCCAAACTTGCAAGACCCTGAACCTTGCAGAACCACAAAAGACGCAACCAAGAGATTCGGGCTGGGTCGTGGAGAGTTGGTGTTTCTTTAGATCAGGGCCAATCCTGCATCTAGCCTTCCGAGCCCTACGCTCTACGGCTGGAATGTGGGTTCGGGCTCGGGGCTAGGGTTGAGGATTCGGGCTCCGGGCTTGGGGGCTTCAAGGTCTGCAAGGCTGCTGTGAGGGTTTCAAGTGGTTTGTGTTCGAGCGGTTTAGGGTTTAGGGCTTAGGGCTTCGGGTTTTGGGTTTTTGGGTTTAGGGTTTAGGGCTTAGGGTTTTGGGCTTTTTGGGGGTAGGGTTTAGGGGTGTCGCCTGGAAACATTGGGGATGAGGGTTAGGCTCTTTTCAGGGCTCAGGATTTAGGGTTTCAGTGTCTGGCTCCTGAACCTGAACCTGCACACCCCCAAGCTGATCATCCAGACCCCGCATCTTAAACCTTGAACCCTCTGATGTTCTTGTTCTGTACTGGGTGGTTGAAGGTTTTGCTAAATTATTGCATCACGACTGTACCCGACCCCTCACCGAATTGATGAAAGCTTCGGAATGCCCTCGGGAATTCCAGCCACCGCCAATGTCACCGCTACCAGGATCATGTACATCCTGGGACTGCTGCTTTTTTGTGAGAGCGGGAGGCTGAGTGTCTTAGGCTTAGGGCTCCGAGTGGTTGTTTGGGGTTTAGGGCTGGGGATCTATGTTCGTGGGGCTTTCGGCTGGGGTTTAGCGGCTTAGGGCTTGCTAGATGCTTTGCTGAGGACACTGGCAAGGGTCGTGGGCGCTGTTCAGCCATTTAACGCTTAAATCTCTAAAACTAGCCAACTGGAAACCTTACACTCTTACACTCTTACACCCTCCAACCCTCAAGCCCATGAACCCTCAACCGCCAAAACCTGGACCCTCAAACCTTTAACACTAACCCATACATAACCCAAACCCCGAAACCCTCAAACCTTCAGCCCGAAACCCCTCAAGCCTCAAACCCCAAACCCCTCAACCCCAAAACCCAAAATCCCCGAAGCCAAAGGCGAAGGATTAGCAACGCGCGCATTTGAAATTTGAAAGGCGGGCATCCAGCTCGGGCTGTCCGGAAACTCCGGATCCTTCGTACCGATGCCCACACCTGCGATGAAGACGGCGGAGGCCATGACGATCCTGGGACTACGACCCAGACAAGTTGAGGGCCCCTTTAGGGCTTCAGCGCTTTGGGGCTATTCGAGCCTTACGGAGCTGTGGGGTGTCTTGGGTTGCAGGGTTGGGGCTGAATTAGACTAAGAGAGAGCGGGCAAGAGGTAATTCCAATCAAGGTTTGCCTGAAGGTCTTCAGCACAGCTAGGTGGGGCTTTTAAAGCCTTTGAAAAATGTTAGTAAATAAGATCATCTTAAACCCAATAAGGGAAAATATAAAATGTCCCAAAGCCCTACCTAGACAGTGCGTACGGTGTGGATGGAAGATGTGCTCCGATACAGGCCTGAGACATGCAAGCAGATAATTACCAATACTATTTTGGGGGCTCCTTGTTATAATTATAGTACAATGGGCCCAAACCCTATTCTAAATGAAGGCCGTTATATTATAGTATATTATAGAGACATGCAAGCGGCATGTTTGTCGGTGAGGTGCAGGGTTTGCGATCCCCGAGTGCTGCGTGCAACGGTCTGAATATGTTTGATGTTCAAAAATCCTGGCTAAAGAGTTAGGGTTTAGGGTTAGGTGATTCAGAAGATACTTTGAAGTCAAGGGTTTCGGGTTCAGGGCCATTTTTGGCGCAATGGATCTTTCACCCACTCCATGCGCAGGACTTAGGGTATCGGTCTCGGGGTCATAGCATGTTTGAGCTGCTGTCCACACGGTTCGATTCACTCATCACGCGGAAATGCAGGGGCCTTGACCAGGCACACCAGGCTGTCGGCAAGGTTTGCCACAGGAAGTTAGGGTTTCAGAACTTATCAAGAACATACCCTCAGAGATATGGTATCAAGGCTCCTTCTGACTACTTTCCCGTCCCAATGCGGCAACATGCTCGCGAAAGCCTAGCACAAATACTTCAGGATCCTAGAGAAGCGTTCTTTCAGGCTTTCAGGAGGCTTGCTGGTAAACTCCCAAACGAAGCCTCCTTCACCCCTTGCACCCCAAAAGCCTTGAACCCCCCCCCCCACCCTCAACTCGGGTCCTACACTATGAGGACGTCGGTTTGTTCCGAAGATGTGTCGCGGGCATCACTGTAGAACTTCTGGTAGATGCCCTTGTAGAAACGGTGCAGAAGCCCGAGCTAAACCCTAATCCCCAACTCCGACACCACTCAGGCAGACAAAGGTCGCAGCCATGCCAATACGAGCACCCAGCCTCTCCACGTTCTCCTCTGGGCGAAAGGGCCCGAGGGGGACAGGGTCGAGGGTGTTGGATTGTGGGGTTTTTAGGCCGAGGATCAATGACAGCCAGCGGTGCTGGAAGCTGTTAGGGTGTAACATGTGGCAAGAACGTCTCCTGGAGCGGGGTCTTGCTGCCGGTTGAGCCACAGCTGCATCTTCCCGCTTCATCATCCTCCTTCGCCATCATTTGGGCGATTTCGCCGATCCGCGTGTCCTGGGACACTTCAGAGTGTCTTGCGTTTGGTTTCTGGTCTCCTTTTCAGGTTTAGGACTGTGGGTGTGAGACATCAAGTTCGCCAGCTCTAAATCGTCGGAGTGGCCATACCGGTCGCCACTACCACGCCGGTGCATCGCCCGCTCGCGACGGGACATCCCGAGAAAGCCATGTTCTCAGGTGTCAGCTTCGTCTGCTCCTTGATCCTGGGCTGTGGAGGGCTCAAGAAGCTCAGGGTCGCGCCTCTGCTTGAGATGAACGTACTAAAACGACACATTTCAACACTACGCTGTATCTTGGGTTAGATTTTCTCGTCTCCAAATCCCCTAAACCTTTAACTGCTCCATCCACCGGAAACTGAAGCCAAAGTTGTAGACCAACAACCCGTAGTTCCGGATCTTCAGACCTGCAGATTCTTGCGGTTCAAAAACGTGCCCTTAGCCTGCAACCCTAAAGCCCAAAACCCGAGAACACAAAATCTAGAGAGTTTCAATACGTAGTTATGAGGTCCCTACTAAATTCGAGTAGAATTAATAGAACATACCCCAGGCCCCAGTCTAGCTAGTAAGGCTGCTTCTACTAAACCTTATAGTAACCCTTTCTACAATAATCCGTACCGCGACCTACGGTAACCCTTTAAAGAACCTCTGTGAAGGAACCCTAACTACCACAAAGAATTTGTTTATCGACCCGTTATAAAGGCCTTGTACAGACCCTGTGCGGCCGCTTGTGAAACCCTTTTCGGAATATTCAGGCTCCCGTAGTACTAAACCCTAAACCCTATAAACCTATATATTGTGAATCTTTCAAGGAACTTGGTGTTCTTGAGCACGTCCTCAGGCTCGCCGGTAAGAGCCTTCGCAGACAAAACCCTTTCTAAACGGCTGAGAGTGCATCGTGTAGGGTTTATCAAAACGTTTTGGAACACTCGGTTACGTCCTCCTTGTCCGGCATCCGACATCCGCAACTCCGCTAGCGACACAGCCTTCGTGATGGGAGCCGAACGGCCTTGCAGACCTCTTCTGATGTACGACCCCTTATATAAACCATTTATGAGCTGTCATTCTCCCTACATAGAGCACCCTTTATTCCCCATATTACACCCCAGAACCCCTCTTAAATAAATAGCTCTTACAGTACCCGTAGACTACCCCACAGAGTAGGGCCCTTTTTCCGATCGCAACCCCTAAAACCCCAAACCCTGAACTCCAAGGAAACTTTCGAGTACGTCTTATACGGCCCCTGAAAGTAACCCTCCTAGTACCCCTGCTCAAGACTCCTTAAAGTCTCCCAGTACCCCTGTTTAAGACTCCTTAAAGTCTCCTAGTACCCCTGTTAAAGACTCCTTCAAGTACCTGTGGGACTTCCCCGCCTTCTCGTCGACTTTCAGGTCACTTGTCGACAGAAGCCTCAAGTCCGCCGGAACCACGTCACCTGGCAGCTTCCCAACTTTAGGGTCCATCGGCGTTGTAGAGCTTTCGTATACTTATAGAGCTCCCTTTGAAGTATTGTTACGGGTCCTACTAGGCGTTTGAGATGTCGACGCATGGGTTTTGTAAAGTGCTTCTTGTATTTATCTGTATTTTGTTTGAATGGTTGGTTTGGGGTGTTCCGTGTCGTGCTTCTTTCTGGCTTGTGCTTTAAGACCAATTCGAGCATAGGCCAACTCTGTTTCGCTTCCGCGGGCTTCGGCTTTGGTCTGTATTGCTTGAAGGTTCATGGGTAGATATGAATAAGGCTATAAGTACGGTAACTTCACTTATATCACACATTAGGGGACTTGTAACCCCAGTTATAACTACCCATGAACCTCCAAGTGCGGAGGGGCAGGCAGAAGAAACATCCCGGAAGTGGCGCTTCGTGGCTTTACGATTCCTTTGCCTGTCTCCAGAACGACGACGTCCCCGCGGACCACCTTTCGCGGGGTCGACGGGTGGAAAGTGCAGGAGGGCTGCAGGCGTGGGAATGATGCGGCGAGGGAGTTCGAGGGCTCTAGGATGTAGCATGTGGGTGTAAGATGCTGGGTCACTTGTGATTCAGGGTTCTGTGCCTAAGATTCTTCTTCCTGGCGCCGCAGTTTCTGGGATGCCTCGATGGGTCAGGACGACAAACCCCAAAGCTCAAAAAATACGACCCTAAAACGGGCTAAAACCTGAATCCTTGCACCAAACTCTTGGACACTGAACCCGAAGACCCAGAAGCCACGCAAACCTAGAGATCCGAAAGTCTGCTTAAACCCACCAAGAAAAGGAGTTAAACAACTGTAACATGAATCTCGGCCTCTACTGTCGGGAGGCGAACAGGTCTGCCGTCGCGCAGCACCGAGACCTTCTAGTCAGAACAAAAGATTCGGGGAGAGGGGGGTGTGCGTTTTGGGCTTAAGGTTTTGATTTCGGGAGGATTTGAATGTTGGGTTTAACATGATCTTGGGTTCCATGTTGTATTTCTTTCTGGGTTCAATCAACAGTTCTTGAGATACCAGGTTTGGGGTGCCAGGCTGAGGTTCGACGGGACTAAGATTCGGCATCAGACCTGCATTGAAACTTGATGTTTAAAGTTTGCTGCAGGTTCATGGTTCATGGCTTCGGCGCGGAGCCCGGCCGTTAGCGCGATGGCTTTGCCTTCATGGGCGACTTACCCACAAGCAACACACCTGCCAGAAAACGCGTCCCCAGTGTAACCCAGCGATTAGCCATAGCACCCACAACAATCCTCAAGCATCCCCGGAGGGAGCAACAACAGAGTTACAAAGTACCGATACCTAGGACCATCAATCCTGCAGCCTAAACCCAATCCCGAAACCTTGCACCCCTGGAAGCCCTTAACCCGTCAACACTCTCTCTCTCTCTCTCTCTCTATATATATATATATATATATAATTATATATATATATATGTATACATATATATATATATATATATGACCTGTAAAGCAAAGATCCCCTTCGCGTCGGATGCCTCGGCTTGCGAGAGCTTCGCCAAGGCATCCAGCGCATTGCCTGCCTGCCATCGGACTTTGGGGTGTTTCTGCCGGATTCTTAGCAGGGAAGGAGGGAATGGGTGTTAGAGACTACTACAAGGTACCATTAAAGAACTATCTTAGGGATCCCTTCCCCCACTGCATTCTTAGCAGGGAAGGAGGGAATGGGTGTTAGAGAGCACTACAAGGTACCATTAAGGCGCTATCTTAGGGATCCCTTCCCCCACTACATTCTTAGCAGGGAAGGAGGGAATGGGTTATATAGAGAGAGCACTACAAGCTACCATGAAGGGACTATCTTGGGGATCCCTTCCCCCACTACCTGCTAAGAGCCGGGGAGAGTTTTGGGCTTTGTGGTGTCGAGCTAGGGATGCCTGGAAGAGTTCCTACTGTAGGAACCCGATTAAGAAACCCTGGCCCTATAACCCCCAATATCTTAGGATTCATACAAGGAACCCTAATAAAGGCCGAAGGTTTCTTAATCAGGTTTCTACATTAGTATGGGCCCTTAACCCTGGGATCCTCATATACAGGGGTCTCTTAATCAGGCTCCTACATTACAAGGGTTCCTTCAGGAAGGGCTTTGGGGGGTTGAAGGCGAAGGTTTTTGACGGAGTTTGACCAGGAATTGGGTCTGGGCCTGCCCGGCTGGCTTGAGACTTTGTGTTTCAGGGTTTAGGGGTTTGGGGCTTAGGGCGCCTGCACGTAAGATATCGTAAGATGTTGGGCTTGGAATTTAGGACTGAGGGTTGAGGTTCAGGTGAAGCTTCGGACATGTTCTGGGATTGAGGTCGAGGGGAGGCTGGAATCTTACGCCCGTCCCTCATCTGCAATTCCGAACGCGGAGGCCAAAATCATCAAAAGCTGGTGTTGGGACAGCTCCTACTAAAACTAAGCAAGCCTTTTATGGAGCTTTGTTGCTAGGCATTCTGCTTCCGAAACCCTTGGCCTGTAAACCAGGAGGCTCTCACTGACACTTGTGTAGTCGTAAACGAACATACTCGCGCATGCAAACCCTAAACCCTAGTACAAACTCTAAACCCTAACGTGAACCCAAGAACCCAGTACAAAACTCATAACACTAAGAAAAAACCCTAGAGCCTCAAACCCGATGAAACAATCAAACCATACCTAGCCACCCGCCTGGTGCTCGGTGTAGGACGTGATGCTGGCATTGATGAGGACGAGGACCAGAATCGCCACACTGGTTGTGTAGGACAAGGCCTGCTAGGATGGCTTTCAAAGGCTACTGTGAGAGTACTACACAGGTTCGTTAAGGTTACTATAATTTATTGCAAGGGTTTGCTATTAAGGATTCTAGGGTTTAGGGTTTTGGGCGTGCTTCAGGCTTACGGTTAGCAGGGTGGGAAGAGAACTTGCCACTTTGGGAATGGCTTTGCATGATCGAAAAGGTGACTGCGGCAAGCCCCCAGAAACATCCCAGAAGAGGGGCACCCTTCCCGTGGCGTGTTTGGACGCTCTGTCGTAGTGCGTAACGGGGACAATTATCGGAGTTACAAGGAATACTGAATCAATAAACTTGCTAAGTCAGAGATATGCAGGTGGCAGCAATCCTTGTACAGACAGGATCAGAAGCTCCGACATCGTGCCCCAGCTATATAAAAATCAAGGTTCAACGACTTCTGGTGCATGGGTTTGGCGCCCCACAACCACAACCCTACATCCTAGACCTAGACCCTAGACCCCAGGCTCTTGGCAACAAAGCCCCAAAAAACCGCGCACCTCCTCACGCTTACTGTCGTTGGTGACGTTGACCACCACCGAGGCAGCCGCCGCCAGCAGGAGCAGCATGATCCTCAGCTCTTGATATTGGGTGGTTGTCAAAATTAGAGCGCCTTTTTGGGTACCCTAAATACTAGGTGCTGCACCTTACTAGGGCCTAGAAAGGGACCATGATTTTGACAACCACCCATATCGATTGTAGTTCAAGCTACCAGAATATAGAGTAGATACTATGATGACTAATCACTCTCGAACTCAGCTACCATGACGGGCCTCATCTATATATCTATATCTATATCTGTGTCTGTTTCTGGGTCTCTATATTTTCTATATATCTATTTCTATGCCAAACAATACGGTGTCCTTTTTATGGCAACTGGGGCTTATTGAGTTGCGCTTGTACCAAGAGCCGAGGATCAGGAAGCTGGTCAGCTGCAGGAGAAAGAGCATCACCAACCCAAGCCTCCGGATTAAGGCTTCAAGGATTTAGGGTTTAGGGTTCAGGGTTCAGGGTTTGGGGTTTTGAGTTTGGGGTTTTTCAAGTTTGGGATTCTTGCACGTTGGACCGACGTGTGTGCCAGTCTGTGGAGTATTGCTCCGGCTTCGGATTGCTATTGTGCAGGGTTCTGCCAGGCTTTGCTATCCTTTGTTGAAATCAAGGGACTGCGGGGCGAGTTCAGGTTTTAGTTTTGAATTCAGCGGACCCTGATGCTCATACAAACCCTGAAAAATCCCTGGACCTCCAGATTGGAAGGGGAGAAAGAGGCACCGAAGTATGAAGCTGTTTCCGACCACATCTCGGACGTCCCAGAACACTGAACTCTTGATCCTGCAAAGGCTCGAACCCTGAACCAGACCGGCACAGATCCCAGAGGCCAGAAACATGAGCCAACACACGCTCTCTCTCCTTAGCTACTTTGCATACATCGGTCTTCCCGTGACTTCGGGCTTTCGGTTGGTCCGGAGCTCAGGGTTCTTCCGTTGAAACCTCACCCTCAGCTTTGAATTCCTTTCAGAACAAAAAAGCGAATCCACTGCAACATCAAAACTGGGAACTGCTTCTCTCGAGAGCTCTCGGCAGTACCAAATGCACACCAGCTGGAATCTTGCCGCCCTTGAAACCCTGGGGTCCTTCAAGAATGTGTTCCAGTTTTATGCCAGAGATACAAACCAACAGCACTTCATCCGAAATCCCTTGAAAATCGAGCCATACTTCGTTCTCAAAGGATCATGCGAAGTAGAGCTCTTAAAGTACCTGCACAGGCTAAATGGGGTTCTCCTACCCATGAACTACTTCATAAACCCCTGATCGTCTAAGTGGCTTGTGCATGGCCTGACAGAATCACACTTGTCCAAACCCTAGTAAATTAGCTGTCCGCACAAATATCAATCGGGGACAGGCATAGGACCACTGTTGAAGAAATGCAACGACAATGACAATCATTCCGATTGCTAAACATGCGTGCTTGACCAAGGGGGTTCGAGACTGCAAAACCCTGAAGCTTAAATCCAAGCCTCCGACCTTAACAACACCGATCCCTCTCGAAACCCCTAACCTGAACCCCCGATCCCTTCTACACTCTACCCTAAACCCTCTGGCGAATCCTTTCAAACTTGTTTTGCAGCCTCAGAGAAGCCATCATGGGCAACCCCGAATCCGACATGAACCCTAAACAAAATATATGTATATAATACCCATAAACCCATTAAAAGTACCGAGAAAAGGGCCCCAAAAATGTGGCTTTTTTTTTGGGGGGGGAGAAAGCCTCACCTGGACCCGGGGACCCCGAGCAGGGTTTAAAACCCTACACACCTCAAAAGAACCGATGCTTGCCCCGAAGCTCCAAACCCTAAACCCTGAACACCCTTGGGAACCCCTAAGTCGTGATCTCGCGCCTCGGCTGCTGCTGCAGTTGATTCGGGCCGTCCTTCGAGAGTCGAGCGCGGGCCATCTCCTGACCGGTGGTAAGTGAACTCGAGTAGTCTGGGGGCCACTTCAACAATCAGAATAGGGCGTGGGAATTGGCAAGTATTTTTACGACCCCTGCGCTTTTGGTATCCAATATACAGCTCACAGTCTTGAACGGCTGGAGACTGCAGCATCAGGCAAGGATCCCCTCAACAACGTCGCCTATGTTCCGTCCGAAGCAACAACCTTCAACCTCAGACCCTAAACTCTAAACCTTAGACCCCAAACCCTAAACCCCCTATATCTGAAAGAGCTCGCGGCTTCTTTCTCTAAGGCATGAAGCTTCCTGTTGACATGTGCATCCTGAACTTGGGAATGTCTCTTCATGTCTCTCCCTCGTGCAGAAGCAGCGGAATTGGGCGCAGAGTTCAAGGCAAGCGTAGAGTTGAGGGTTCTTCGGCCTCGGGCTGAAGCACATGATTGGGCCTCAAGGTTGACTTGAACTTTTCTCATAAAGTTTACGTCAGCGGCTACCATATTGCGTACAAACAAGAGTATCTCCTGGTAACCCGACTTTCTAAGCCTCCTGGGTCTTTCGCAAGTAGGCCGCCTATAGACTTCGCATGCCGTCGTATGAAAACAATGAGCCCTGAGCAGTGACAACACCATGAACCCAGGAGCTCTCTTTACAGTACAAATCCAGAAGACAAAATCCTCTCAGGTCGGAAGTTGAGTTTATGGGTGCTTTGTGATCTGGAGCTGAAGGCATCCTCGGTAAGGCCACGTTCAGAATCCGTCTTCAGCATGGCACAGATCTGTGCGACGGGCAGGTTTTCCACCTCAGGGCATGCCGGGTGAACTTGAAACCAAGACCGGAAATCCCATTATACCTCCACCAAAAATAGGGGCCTTTTCGGGGCTCCTTATAAATTATAGTAAGGGGGGCCTAAATGATTACCTAAACTATTTTGGGGGCTCCCTTATTATACAAATTATTTGCACCCCAAAGGACATCAACAAAAACAGCTTCTGGCAATAGTTCAAAACGAGCCAACACCCCCCAAAACCTTAAACTCCTAAACCCTAAACTCCTAAACCCCTAAACCCCTAAACTCTCAAACCCTAAACTCCTAAACCCTAAACTCCTAAACCCCTAAACCCCTAAACCCCTAAACCCCTAAACTCTCAAACCCTAAACTCCTAAACCCTAAACCCTAAACTCCCCTAACCCTTAAAACCTGGAAGACTCGGGGCCTGGAGGCCCCCAAGGCACGTGGAAGAAGTCGGCAGCTGCTCGCTGCTCCGTCTTTCGGGACCGTGCTGCAACTCCTCCACATTCCGCGACAGGTCCTGTAGGTTTGGGGTCCAGGGGCTCAGGGTTTCGGCTGTTTTGGAAAGAGCTTGTTGGTGTTGTTTGGGGCGTTTGGGATTTTGGATCCGTGGTCTACGGTTTCGAGATCTACCGGGGAACTCAGTCCCGGCTCAGGACTGCAGCTGGGAGGTGTCACCACAGGCTTGAACGGGTGCAGGGGGCTTAGCCTAACTCTGTATGTTCAACCTTATACGGAGCAGCCAAGAAATCAGCTAGACCACTGAAATCTCAATGTCCCCAAACGGCGGCAATTGGAATGACTCCCCTGTTGCCTTCAAGGTCTGAAGCATTGCTAAGGGCCTGAGGGTGAGTTCGGGATTTAAGGAGTTTGTCGCTTGTGCTTCGGCTGATGTCATATCCACCTGCGGAGCCCCCTGCTGAGACCTTGCACCCTGAGCCCTTGGACGCAAGCCCCAAATGCCCACGCTCCTGATGATGCGCATTCGTCAAGTCGTGCAGAAACAGATGATCTGGGCGCAACATTGCGAACTGAATGGACGGCCCAATGAACTATGATGATTGCGTTTTGCACCACAAACGGCTGCAGACAGAACAGACTTTTTTGGGTCGCTGCGGGCGCTGGCACTGGGACGCCTCGATATGAACCCCTAACCCGTCAACCTAGAGAAGCTGGGGCGTTGGACCTTGTGGAAAACTCTGCTCTCGAGAGTCACTCCTGCTTGCGGTCCAACGACGAGCCTGGAGAATTAGATCCGCATGAGAGGACGCCTAACGGAATCTTATTGTTGTATTGCGGGCGCTGGAGACGATGATGCTGGTGATACAGGTGATGTCATGGTGTTTTTGGTGATGAGAATGAACATGATGGTTCTGGCATCCTAGAGTCCTCGTTACGTCCTGGTTGATTTGTTGTTAGTTTTATCTCGCCAGGCCACGCGTCAATCTTATTACGACGGCATTCTCCCTCGAACTAACAAGGCAACTCATCTTCACCAGATCGTTACTTGACGCTTTTGGTCTGGGTAATTAGTAGAACATCTTGTGTTAAGTGTTCCAAAGCCGAAGACACTCCAGGGCTGGGCACTTCAGGGATTCTAGTGCATTCTAGGTTAAGACACTCTAGGGTTGGGCACTTCCGAAATTTTCTGGGGTTACGCACCGGAGACTAGCTGAGCTTACAATCTGAGCGGCGAAGGGGTGGGGGTGGAATTGAACTAGTGACATCTCAATTTTTGCAATTGGAAAATGAGAAAGTCTTCTACCTTGCGATGCTTCTACTCCTCCGGCCACTCTGACACAGGCGGCGAATCCGGGGAATGAACAACCGCATCGTCGAACATTGGACGGTTCCAAGCAATTGTGTAGGAATGATGACCAACAACGAGTGGACAGTCTCCAACAGTCAACAAAACCAGCTAGAAACCAGTTGCCGAATGGCCGACAAAGCACGAACACCACCGCGTGGATGTTTCAATTCTGAAGAAAGCCTTTACGAAGCTGCGAACTTGCAGCATTTTCCCGCGATGTCGCTGGAGCGTGTCGCAGTCCCGGTTCCCAGAGGACTCACGACCTGCGAGATGACTCCCAGCAGAGGGTGGGGAGACAGATGGTCCGCTCTCACACTCTGTGGGCGGGTACTCCTGCAGCTCTGCCTGAGCCCAAGGCGGTCGTGCCGTACATGACTCATGACCCCGACTTTCTGCTCACATGCATCCCAGCTGCCATTGCGGCCTGTACCTCCGGCGACACCAAGTCGTGACGCACCTGGGCAGAGGCCACACCAAGCTCCACAGTCCAAACTCTTTGATGCCTATCCTACAACTAGAGAGTACGTAAAGCATAAGGCCGGTGACTGGTGATGTTTTTGAAATATTCGAGGACCAGAAAGTGGTGAACGCTTTTAGAGTCTAGTTGTGGCAAAGCTCTGCTCTGGTTTTGAAAAGGTTCAGTGGGATGCAACGTCTCTAACCCAGAGGCTCTATGCTTGCATCGATAGCCCTAAAGACAATCACCCAAAACGAGGTCACCACCCTCGGTTGGCTGTTAGATGCTCGGGGTTCATTTTGTAACTGGCTGCGGCGTCAGGGTGGTCACGCATTTATGGGGTTTTGGCTTGCAGGACTGGGCTCAGGCTTCAGGGTGGGTATAGGGCGTAGGGTATGAGGCCCGTGCACGTCCATTAAACCGGAGAATCTGCAGTTTGCCGGCGTCCGTCTTTACATGTCCAGGTTCACCTGTCCATTGTTGGATGTTCCAAGAAGATGCATTGTTGCATGGGCTGTCCATGGTCGGAAACGGGTCTGCCTATTGCTAGAGAGTGCCTTCCGCCTACACAAATTACATAAGTTTTGGACCTCCGGTACAATGGCAACCCCACTGGCGAACCGCACTCGGTGAAGTACTGCAGAGGAAAAACCGACCCACGCACCCCTGCAGGGCTCCAGACACCCTCCGCGGCTGAAGTTGCCTAGCGGGGCTCAAGGTTGAGGTTCTCAGAGCTTTCGTAAGGGCTCTATCAGTGAACGTGTAACGGGCTTCGAATAAAGATTCAAAAGGGAATATTCAAAGCTTTTCCATAAGAGCCCATTAAAGGCCACGCAGCCCCAAACCCCCCCCTTGTCCGACCAAGGTCTAGGATGAAAGATCAGGCGTTTGAACTCCTTTGCTCCGCTCTTCCTAGGTTGGCCAGCAATGCACTTACCACGCACCAGGCCAGCAAAATTTGGGTTTAGCCTGTAGGGTTTAGGGTTGGGGGCTTGCGTGGCAATCGCCAGGTGCCGTCGCAGCCAACGCTCAACAAAATGCCTCTCACGCCTCTTCGGCAGCCTTCTTCTCAGCCGACTCTGACGTGGCCTCTTTACGGGGCAAACTGCAAGATGCGCCTTCTGAATTTTAATCTCAGGAGGGCGGCTGGAAAGAGAGTCAGGACACAAAACGTAAGCGGGACAAGTTCTGTCTGCACTTGGGAGGACTTTGGGTTTAGGGTCTTGAGGGCTTTTTAATCAACATAGCTACGCCATGGCTACTTCGCAGGAAAAAACCTGCAGTCCTCAGGCCGTGTAGAACCCTCATAGACTCATAGACCTGTAGACTCCTTACTTATAGACCTTGTCAAAAAAAGCCGACATGTGCGGTGTTCAAAACCCTTCTTTCATGCTGTTCTAAAAAGATGAGACTAGCGCCGAAGCTATCGCGTTGCTGACACGCGCTGCGGAGCATCTAGCGCGCCGGCATTTTTGGTATTCGCTGACGCGTTCACTGACGCCCCACTGTCGCTCACCGAACCCCAGCTGACGAGGACCAACCAATCTTAACGTTTAAATAAACTCCCACAGGAGGGGTTTAGAACGCTGCAGAACACTGAGTGCCCCGACCACGTAGGTGGCGATGGTGATCCCAATCTCCTGGCTCTCCAACACACTTGCTCAGCACCCAAAGCCAACCAGTGCCAGAAGGAGTCAGGAGTCTGAGAAACAGCCCAGCTGTGAAGCTTATTGAAGCTGGAAGCGGACAAAATCCCCGCACCTGCACTACGAGTCAGGAAAATCAATGTACTGAAAAGAGCCTTTTCATCTGCACGGAACGTAGAGCGATGGTGAGCATGCTGAACTTTACATGAGCATGCACAGCAATTGTCCAGAAATGGTCGCCCCGACTTTGCGTCCTCTGCTTCTTCCGCGACTTTTTGTGGCTCTGCTAGGGGCTCCGACAGACGTGCTGCTTACAGACCCTGCAGCTGATACAACTACATGCACACAGTTGCCATCAGGAATTGTCAGTCCTTCTCTCGCTCGGCGCAACAGTGATGGTAGTGGTAGCGGTGGCGGTAGGGGTAGTGGTATTGGTAGTGCCAGTGGTAGTGGTAGTAGTGGCAGCAGCACTATCAGCACTACTAGCACTGATAGAACTAGTTGTATTAGAGGCACTACTAGCAGCTACTAGCACTAGTAGTTCGCAGTCGCAGTAGCAGTAGTAAGTAGTAGCAGTAGTCGTAGCAGTAGTCGTAGCAGTAGTCGTAGCAGTAGCAGTAGCAGTAGCAGTAGCAGTAGCAGTAGCAGTAGCAGTAGCAGTAGCAGTAGCAGTAGCGGTAGCCCTAGCGGTAGCAGTAGCAGTAGCAGTAGCAGTAGTCCTAGCAGTAGCAGTAGCAGCAGCAGTGGCAGCAGCGGTAGCGGGAGCGGTGGCGGTAGCCGTAGCAGCAGCCGTAGCAGCAGCCGTAGCAGCAGCCGTAGCAGTAGCAGTAGCAGTAGCAGTAGCGGTAGCGGTAGCGGTAGCGGTGGCACTACCAGGAGCAGCAGCAGTAGCAGCAGCAGTGCTGGTAGTAGCAGGCGTAGTCGTAGCTGTAACAGTAGTAGTAGCAGTAGTAGTAGCAGTAGTAGTAGTAGTAGTCGTCGTAGTAGTAGTAGTAGTAGTAGTAGTCGTAGTAGTAGTAGTACTACTACTACTCCTGCTACTGCTACTACTACTACTACTACTACTACTACTGCTACTACTGCTACTACTGCTACTACTGCTACTACTGCTACTACTACTACTACTGCTACTACTGCTACTACTACTACTACTACTACTAAGTAAAGGAGGGATATATATAACTAGCACTCGTAGTACTAGTCGGAGGTGTCCTTTGACGGTGGGTTGGGATAGTTTGGGGATTAGTTTCGGTTGGGGTCGGTTGGGGCAGTTTGGGGCGGGTTGGTGTATTGAGGTTGGGGTTGGGGTCTGGGCGTTTGGTTGGCTACCAGCAGGCCGAGAATGATTATGTAGACCCACCCTGCGTACGAGAACTCATCCTAAACTCTCATGCTGACCCGCCTGGCAATCGAATTCGTAGACCTGCCAGTTCAAGAAATTCACAGAATGCCAAAACATAGATGTTAAACCTTAAAGCGCCTAAGCCCGAATTCCAAGAAAGCCTCAGTTGGTGCTTTGGCCTTCCGGTTCCACTGGGGAAGCACTCTCCCCTAGTACCCGCAAACCTGATGCAACTGGTGAACTAGGTCCAAGGTTCCAACTGAAAAGTTCATGATTCCCATTCCCAGCTTTCGGCCCCGATGGGACTCCCCTCCCGCACCTGCGGACAGCAACTGCAGCCCATGGCAGTCCCCATCCCGTTCACGTGTGCTGAATTTTAATAAAGAAAAAGCATGCTTCCGTTCCACGTTTCACTTCATATTATTAGGTTAACCTAGTAGTCAGTGAGATAGGTGTAATGTAGGTTTAGGAAATAGCTCAAAGTTGTAAAGGTTAAGCGCTCACTGTTCACTCAATGTGCTTTCTAGTTGTTGTGATCTCTGCTTTGCGTCTCTCTGCTGCCGTGGTGCGCTATGCTGCTGTGGTGCTCTATGCTGCTGTGGTGCTCTATGCTGCTGTGGTGCTTTGTGCTCAAGCTGCTCAAAAGGCTGTGGCCTGCACTCTGTCCGAAGGGGGACTCCAAACATACCGGTCACGCGGGTGGAGTGGCATGGCCGGAAATGCACCGAACCGCAGGATGGTGTCCGGGAGTGCTTCCCGTGAATCCAGAACTTAGGTATTGGAGTCATGCGGGTTTGGGGTCTTAGGGCTTAGGGTTCAGGGCTGAGGAATTAGAGAGTGATGTTGGTTTGGGCTGTAAGGGTCTAGGGTTTGTTTGGGTATTAGAGTTATACGGGTTCGTGGTTGAGGGTTTAGGTATTAGAGTTATGCGGATTTGGGGTTTGCGGGTTTAGGGTTTAGGCATTAAAGTTATATACGGGTTTGGGGCTTTGGTGCTTGGGATTTACGGTTTGAGGCTTCCCTAGGTAGGGCTTATATAAGGGTTACACCCAGGTTACTGCACGGGTTTGATTTTTAAAGGGGTTTCGCGCTTCGGGTTTCAATGGTTTGGTGTCAGGGCTACGAAATCTTCAGGGCTAGCGGCTTGAAATGGGTTCTGGGGTTAACACAGAGGTTCAAGGTTTCGGCTTATGCCGGGCTTATAGGTTTAGGGAGCCTAAAGCGTGATGCTGATGGACAAGATCTTGCATTGCACGCGGTGCCCTAAACTGTGGAAGCATTTGTGCAGAGTTTAGGGCTTCGCGGGTTTCGGGTTTCGTGTTGCGCTCTGGAATCACGTGCACTCACCTTTGGATTCAATTCCCTGCAGCACCAGGAAACCACCAATAGTTCAACACGTAGGCAATGATGCGAGCAAGCGGCACACATAGTGCTCAGTTGTCCAGCGACTACATTAGCACGCAAATGCGGCTAGGTGCACACCGCTTCGAAAGTTAGTAACGAATAATGAATACATAAGTCTCAGCTTCAGGGGCTTGAGACCAGGAGAGGAGCCGCGGTGACGTCACGCAAGAAGCCGATTAGCCAAGCCAAAAACGCAGACGCGTCCGCTCTTCCCAAACGTCTTGCAACTTCAACGCCTGCCCGAACGCTGGGCTCCCGAACCCCTCGAATCGTCTACCACACTCCAGAGACAATTCATACCGTAAATCTTGTCATCACGCATAACAGAATCAGCAGTCAGTAGTCGGCAGTGGGCAGGAGGCCGTGGTAAGTGGTCAGTGGTAGGTGGTAAGTGGCAAGTAGCAGCCTAAGTAGCAAGAAGTAGGTCGTGGGCCGTAAGTGGCATGTCGTCGGTGGTTCGTAATTAGGTGGTAGACGGCAGGTGGTAGTAGGTAGCAGGTACCAGGTAGTAGGCAGTATCTAGTTATAACTCATCAGCAGGTAGCAGGCAGCAGGTAGCGGGAAGCAAGTCGCAGGTAACAGCGAGGCAGTAAGTAGTAGGTAGCAGCTCGTACGTAGTAGGTAGTAGGCAACGACATTCTGGGTTGGGCAGTCCAATGGGTTTGGGCATTGCGCGCGTTGTGGTTTGCGGTTTAGGGTTCAGGGTCTAGGTGTCAGTTTCACTTGGCCTCGTGCTTTCGTTGATTCCGATGACTCTGGAATTCTGGGTGACATTGAGGGTGGTGGCGAGTTCTGTCGCACGGACTGGAATGCTACAGTCCTCGTTTGTCTCACGTCAGGCCTTAATCGTACTATGATGGCAATATCCACCGAATAAGAGGCGTCAACTAATCTTCACCATCTCGCTATTTGACGCTTTCGGTCGGGCTCGGGAAAAATCTGGTCTTGGGTCGGGCGCTTCAGGTTTTCAAGGACATTATAGGGTAAAACACTCAGGGGCTAGGCATTCCACAGATTCTCTGGGGCCAAGAACTCCGGGGGCTAAGGTTTGGAACTCCAGAGACTGAGACCGGGCGAGCTGCATGTTTTACTGCTCCGGCCACTCCGACCACGGGTAGTTACCCGTGTCCGGAGCGACGCTGCCCGAGGCCTCGGAATCAAGGACTTCGGCCTGACAGGAGGGCGGTTGTTGTTGTCTGGTTTGCCCTCGCCGTATTGATGCAGTCCCAATCCCCTCACCCAAACCAAGCAAGGGACCCACACTCGACTCCCGGCGCAGGGTATATATGTCCTATGCATCACCCCAAACGCAGTCCAAAGTGCCGTCGAAAACTTTGCTCACATGCATCCTAGGCACCAGGACTTCTTGGCCGTACGGGGACGGCAAGTCTTGCCGATCTTCGTGAGCCTCAACACCAAGAGGGAGAGCAAGCAACAAAAGCAGCAGAAGCAGAAACAGCAACAGCGAAACACCACCACCACCACCACCACCACCACCACCACCACCAGCACCACCACCACCACCAGCACCACGACCACCACCACCACCACCACCACCACCACCACCACCAGCACCACCACCACCACCACCACCACCACCAGCACCACCAGCACCACCACCACCACCACGACCACCGCCGCCACCACGACCACGACGACCGCAGCAGCAGCAACAACAGCAACAACGACGACAACAATAACAACAGCAGCAACAACAACAACAACAGCAGCATTTGCGCATAACTAACGGTGGCGGTGGTGGAGGCGGGCGGTGTGATGAGGCTGTGCCGCGTCGTGGCGAGCGCGAGGGAGCACAGGTGACTGTGGGGGTCCACTTTAGTGTTAGACAAGGTCTTATGGACAGACAGGGTGTTCTCGATTGATACTCTTGTATGGTTAGGTAAAGTTCCGGATACAGTGTTAGGTGAGGTACTGTCAGATAGGGCTTTCCGATTGATATAGCAATCCGGTTCTGGTAGATAGGGCTATCGGCTAGATAAGACGATAAGAGTACGAATCTGTGAACATTTTCTTTGCTTGGCCGGGCTTTGTCTGTCTTGTTTTGGGTTGGGTTGGCTTCCTGAACTTCCTAAACCCTGAACCAGCAGATCCGATGCACAGCACTGCGGAGTTGGTTACTGCGGGGCTTTCGGCCGTGAAGCGTCACTCACGGTCTGAAAAATCAGTCCGAAGTGGTCGCGGGCAAGGGCTAACGGGAGCCGGCTGGCGGCCGACAGTAGCCCCAGCTCTGGCACTGACAGTACGAGCAGCTACAGGAGAAAAAAAGAGTAGTATTAGCAATAGTAGCAGTAGTAGTAGTAGTAGTAGCAGTAGTAGCAGCAGTAGCAGCAGTAGTAGCAGTAGTAGCAGTAGTAGCAGTAGTAGCAGTAGTAGCAGTAGCAGTAGCAGTAGCAGTAGTAGTAGTAGTAGCAGTAGTAGCAGTAGTAGCAGTAGCAGTAGTAGTAGTAGTAGTAGTAGTAGTAGTAGTAGTAGTAGAAGTAGTAGAAGTAGTATAGTAGTAGTAGTTGTAGTAGTAGTAGTAGTAGTAGTAGTAGTAGTAGTAGTAGTAGTAACCCGAGACATCCCTAAACCCTAAACCCTGAACATCAGGAGCAGCAGCAGTTCAGTGGGATGCAACGTCTCTAACCCAGAGGCTCTATGCTTGCATCGGTAGCCCTAAAGACAATCACCCAAAACGAGGTCACCACCCTCGGTCGGCTGTTAGATGCTCGGGGTTCATTTTGTAACTGGCTGCGGCGTCAGGGTGGTCGCGCATTTATGGGGTTTTGGCTTGCAGGACTGGGCTCAGGCTTCAGGGTGGGTATAGGGCGTAGGGTATGAGGCCCGTGCACGTCCATTAAACCGGAGAATCTGCAGTTTGCCGGCGTCCGTCTTTACATGTCCAGGTTCACCTGTCCATTGTTGCATGTTCCAAGAAGATGCATTATTGCATGGGCTGTCCATGGTCGGAAACGGGTCTGCCTATTGCTAGAGAGTGCCTTCCGCCTACACAAATTACATAAGTTTTGGACCTCCGGTACAATGGCAACCCCACTCGCGAACCGCACTCGGTGAAGTACTGCAGAGGAAAAACCGACCCACGCACCCCTGCAGGGCTCCAGACTGCCCCGGCCGCATCCGCGGCCTAGCGGGGCTCAAGGTTGAGGTTCTCAGAGCTTTTGTATGGGTTCTATCAGGGAACGTGTAACGGGCTTCGAAAAAAGACTCAGAAGGGAATATTCGAAGCTTTTCCATAAGAGCCCATTAGAGGCCACGCAGCCCCAAACCCCCCCCTTGTCCGACCAAGGTCTAGGATGAAAGATCAGGCGTTTGAACTCCTTTGCTCTCCGCTCTTCCTAGGTTGGCCAGCAATGCACTTACCACGCACCAGGCCAGCAAAATTTGGGTTTAGCCTGTAGGGTTTAGGGTTGGGGGCTTGCGTGGCCAGTGCAAGCTTCAGGCAACTTGTATCCACCGGATGAATTTAGAGCTGTAGGCTTAGACTCCCTGTCTTCGGGCGGGCTTAGCCGTCCAAGTCTCATCTCTATTTGGTGCCCGAAGGCCAAAACCTAGGTCTTTGTTCTGCAGCAGCTTTTGTGAGCAACACAGGTACGCAAGCAAGTCAGTAAGCAAACCAGAACATATGTACTATGCACGTGAGTCTGCAAAAAAACAGTAAGCAATGGGTAAGTATGTGAATCAGGGAGTGAATACTAAGTCCCCTTTGCTTCACCAAGCCATCTTTCTGATTTCAAACTCTCATGTGTTCTTGTGTAGTGAGAACGTGAAGCCCCAAACATGAGGAAAATTCGCTGCTTCTAATTCGAACACGGTTTTGGTGAACATGAAACTATTATGATGCATTTCCTTGCAACCCCCAACTAGCTATCCTATAGGTTACCGTGTAGAAGGCTATACAGGAAGACTGCCCCAATATTAGCTGTTGGGGTTTTGGAGCCGATCACGGTTGCCAGCATTCGGGTAAAGGTTTAGGGTTGAGGGCTTCGGGCGTAGGGTTTTGGGTTTGGGGCTTAAGTGTAGGGTTTGGGCTTGGTTCAGGCTTATAAGGGCTACTGCAATGGTACAGGCTCCTGTATAAGACCTATTACAACCCTGGGAAACCCAGATCAAACAGCATACAACCCCATAAGCCTTGTTCAGAGCCCTACCAAACATATTTGTGTACCCTATAACCCTAAACTCTTGAACCCAAAAGTCCCTCATGTTGCACTAACGCCATTGCAGCCTTGGGAGTGGACACATCCCAGGCAACCACTCCCTTCGTGTCACAAGCGAAGGGTTTAGGGCCGGTTGGGTTTAGGGCTAAACAGTAGTCTTTTGGGAGCAGAGTTTTGGGGTCTTTGGGGTTTAAGGCTCAGGGTTGATAGGATCCAGTGTATTTGGGGTTCAAGGTCTTTAGCATACCAGATCCTAGAACTATGCCCGACAAATCCCACAGCTTGGAAGTCAGGTGAATAATTCCCGCGCGAACTCTGCAACCAAAGGGTCTGCCACACTATATACATCGCGAACCATCATTACGATGCTTGTGTTCTGACTGCTCTGTCTCTGTCCCAGATGTCTAACTCACTGCCCGAAAGAACACGGCTGAAAGAACCTGCACCACGTCCAGCCCCTACTTGATGGTAGGCCCTGAGGGTAAAATCTGACGGCAACTCTATGGGGTAGGCTTGCAGGGGTAACCCTTCCAGGTACCTTGCACAGTCCCCGCCCACCACTGTTGGGCTAGTAACTTAACATTTGTCCGTTACGACGAGATACTCTCCATCATAAAGCTCCATGCTTATCCCTGTTGGTCACATATCATGCCCCGATGCAACTGCAACCCTCCAGTACCATCTAGCAGCCTTCGGGATCCCATGAGAAACCCTAAATCATGCTGTATTGAGGAAATATCCATATATTATACGGGGAGGTAGCTGTCAAGAACTTTGGGGAAGATGTGCTTGTAAAGCTTCTCAAGTACCCATGGGGTACAGAGTGCGACATTCGAAAGAACAAGACCGCCTTGTTTTGGACCACTCAGTTTTCGGTTCCGAAGCAACACGCCTCGAGAACCCCCAGTTACACACGCTGCCCTGCGCGGTCCTACCTCGACGACGTCCGGCGCGCTCTGGCACAGGAGCTCTACCCACCAAGGTGCATCGGACACGTCCTGGCGCCACGCGTCGGCAGAGATCTCCCAAAGCCAAGGGTCCAGCCCCTGCGAGTCAATCAATGCGTTGGCTGCCCTACCCCGCTAAACGCACCCCCTAAAGCAGTAAGTTCTCAAGAAATTTTGACGCCTGCAATCGAGACACTTCATCTCTTAGGGCAAACTTGATCCCACAGTGCCCTAATTACGTACAACCTAAACCCCAACACCAATGCTCTGGGCGATGGAAAGAGTAACTGGAGCGTTCAAACCATCATAGGACCCTATTCTGGAATCCTACAACATCCGGGCAGGACCCGTGCATAGGCTCTATGTATCAAGCAAGTCCCCAGTATCAAGCAAGTCCCCAAGGCCTCGGTGAAGGTTCGCAGAACCTGAAACAACTCAAAGGATCCAGAATCGGTTTTAGAGGCACGACCACAAACTCCCATGCAGAGTGCGACACAAGACTGCACTGTCTGAGCTCCGTTGTGGGGCCTTCCGGCAAAGCCTCAACTCTAGAACCGTAAAGAACGTAGCACCCTGAAACACACGAAAGACTAGACCCTTCACCCTAGCGTAACCCAAAGCCGTAAAGCCGTAATTGTCTACGCTGAGTCTACACTCTAAACCCTGAGCCCTTGAATCTTTACAATCAGAAATTTCGATACTCCAAAGCCTGAGGACTTCAGACGGCTTAGGAAACCCATACAGGTTTCTCGATGTTTGAAGTTCTTGCTTTTGCAACAGCCTTTCCAAAGAGCGAACTTGGGTTCGAGGATGACACCCCCTGCAGCATTGCAAGATAGCGACTCCTGCAAGCCAAAACATCCAGAAACCCCAAAACGAGAAACCGCGGAACCCCGGCAACCCTTTCAGAAGGTTTACGGTTTGGCAAGGTTGAGGCTACTGGAAAAAGACTTTATGCACTGCAATGTAACACTTCCGATTCATGCACCGTCTTCCTTCTGGTTGTAGGCACGCTGCTACCGGCGCACATTAACTGTCAACTCACCCAACACCTCAGATCCCCTCCGCCCTGCAGCCCTTACTTCAAAGTCAAGGTTTTAGAGAACCCCACCTGAAAACCGCAAATGCCCTAAACCCCACATTCTACGACTCCAAATCCCTCGAAAACTGTAGACCATGTGGCGGGCAGCAGCCCTTCAATTTGTACGATTTTGTAAGGGTCCAGGGTTTTGTTCACATGCACTCGGGTATAGCTTACGCTAATAATTAAGCGCTAAACACTGAACCTTTTTTCAGGGTTTAGGGAGCTTCGCCTATCCTAGCATTGGCCAAAAGCCCGCCCTGCCACTGCCTCTTCGCTCAGCCTCACCTTCGAGACCAGCGGAAAGGGCTTGAGCAAAAGGCAAAGGAATGCCAGCTACACTGTTCGCAGAAAAGGAGAGCGAGAAAGGGGGAGAGAGGAGAGAGAGAGAGAGATAGAGCAGAGACAGAGGTTCGAGAGAGAAGGAGACAGGGATAGCAAGCATGCACGAAAGAGAGCAAGGGACAGAGTCAAAAAGTCAGGGAGTGGAGGGAGGGATGGCCAGGGCGGTTCTTGAATCCGGAACCCAAGGCCTGAAGCCGTACACTTTCACCAAACCTGATTTGGGTTGACCTAGTGGAACTTTGCATTTATATTGGCAGTAAAGAACCAGGATAGGCTCTTTACGAGGTTGTGTTGGTAACGATGTGCACTATGGAGATGCGTAATGCATCGGCCAACCGGAATCCCATGGCGACGATATGACGGTGATAGTGACGGCCACAGTGAAGGTGATGGTGATGATGGTGTTGCTGGCACTGATTCAGAATGCTATGAAGTAATGTTGTTGCAAAGCCGATGGTGACAATTACAATGGCGGTGATACTCTACATGATTATGGCGACGATCGCTTCGTAGAAAGATCGAACAGGCCCAAGGTTTATGAAACGACCCCGTGGCTTCAAGTAACGGTGCACAGCCTTCCAAAAGCAGGATCCGCACGAAAACATACACAACCGGCATAAGGAGCAACCAGCAACCCATCAGGATGTTAGGTTTGCAGCAATGTTTACTTCCTGTGAACACCGCGATATCGGCGCTTAACGCCAAAAACTTTAAAACCCAAAATGAGAAGCCTTGTAGAAGCCCTCTGAACCCCAGAATACAGCATGCGCGCTGAGATTCGCTTGGACGCTTTCGAGCAAGAGTTTGGGGCTTCAGGGTTTTCGGGCTGAAGTAAGAGCTTAAAGTTCGGAGATGTGAACTAAAACCCTCAGTCCCAAACCCCTACACTCCTAAAGCCATGAACCCTAGTCCCCTCAACCCTAAAACTGCAACCTGCCTGACATGGAGGCATCAGCCCTGAACTATAAAAACGCAAAGCCTGGGTGCTGCTGGTCTCATCAGTAATGAAAATGGTAACAATAGTAGTGATCGACCACATAGTCGAGTCACGAGTAGCAGACGCGATGTATCGTGCAAGACCAAAAAGAGATGAGGCATCCGAATCATAGTGCCAAGCGGGGAGAAGCCTGCAGTTGCGCCGACATGGCTGGAGTCTCCTCGACCGCCTCGGCGGACGACAGCTGCCAGCACTTCAGCCACAGATGACCCTGACATTGACATCGGTTCTTCGAGCACCTGTTCAAGGGTTATAAACCCTTACATAAACAGCTGGAGCAGCGTGTGCATGCAAATTCGTAGCCGCCAAGACACGGTGTGGAAATTTCAGTGTTGCGGATCCCTGCTGCCGAATTTATTCCAACCTCGAACCACAACTCCCAAAGTACAAAACACAAGCTCTAAAACACCAACACCTCAAAATCCCAAGTACAAGGTCTTGGGGTACTTCCGAAAATGGATACGGACGCGTGGCAATCGCTCCGAGATGAACACGCCCCTCGCCCTTTCTCCACCCAGCTTCTGCTGCTGCTGCTACTACTACCATCCCTGCACTCCCACTCCCATTCCCCAATCCTACTCCTACTCCCTACTCCCTGCACCAACTCCCTACTTCGACTCCCAGTCCAAGTCCTACGAGTAGGACTGGTCCTAGTCCCAGGCCTAGTCCAACACCCTGGGCTCCACTTGGGCACATAAACAGCAGAAGCAGCATGTGCATGCAAATGCGTAGCCGCCAAGACACCACGGCGACCGGCTCCTGCACCAGGCTGTGCGGGGTGGATGGAGTCGGTTCGATGGTGCCGAGACCTGGGAGTGAGGGCTCTGTGCGGCCTGTCACGGCCAAGGACTCGCCCCAGATCCGGACGGGAGCGGCTGGGTGGAGTCTCTGCAGAAACCTGGGCGTTTGCATATTATGATAGCAGCAAGCAGGATGGTCGTTCGGCAGTCGCCAGCTTAGTCTGTCCGAGCAGCAGGTTGCATAGCTTGCTGGTGCGCAGGCGAGGCAAGCTCGTCCTGAAGCCCACGGATCCTGACGCGTGCCGCGTCACGATGCTCGCACGAGCACAGGAGTTCCCCTGCTGCCCGCCTCTGCATCACTGCAGCCACCTGCGTTGCAAGTTGCTTGAAATGGCTTTCTCAGCATGGCATCAATCTTGAAGTTGGCGCCTCGTGGTGAAGCTTCCCCTGCTGGGCACAGTCCCCTTGCACGATGCGAGCAAGCTCTGTGGCGTGATGGATCATGTACTGGAGGAGCGATTGCCTTGGCTTCGGCTTCTGGCAGCGCCGTGCAGAGCGCAAGAAGGAGGCTTCAGACTCATCGTGCCAAGCAGCAAGTGGCGGACTTGGCCTTCAAGCTGGACATGTTGATGTCTCCAAGAAGCTATCATCACCTCCTGCTGCCAGGCTACCACTTCCGGCAGGCATTCAACGACAAATCGTGATGACGAACAACAATTGACGCTCCTGCTTGGCACGGTGACTCTCCAGCGCTGCAGCCGGTTCGTCTGCCGCTTTCTTGGCAGCGGCAAGCTCGACCCGGAGGCTTGAAAGCTCTGCTAGCAGGCTCCTCAGCCAGCGCTTGCACGCACCAAAGCACTGACTTGGTAGCATTCTGCGCAAGCTCGGCACATACGCGGTCATGGTCCAAGGCAACATGTCGTCACTTCGTCTCTTCCAACGCCGCAAGACCGAACTAGCGTGTGCCAGGAAGCTGATTCCGCTTTCTGAGCTCCAGAAGCTCTTCTGGGTCTTCAAAATCTGCGGGATCCTTGCAAAGAGCCGCGCGGGGATGCATGTTACTTCGAGTCGCGATGTTCCAAAACAGTTCTTTAAACTTGGTCCTCTAAAGAGTGCGTCACTCTACAAACGAGGCTCAGTCTTCTCGTAGGGCCATCCCCTGCTTGGGGCGGGACATGGCTATCTCCACTCTTCGGGCTTCGGGGCTTTTATGGCTTTTAGGGGGATTAGGGATGAAGGATTTTAGGCCATAATATCGGGTTCTGCATTGTGGTTCTACAAGGGTTACCGTCAGGGTTCTACTGGATTTCGGGTTGCAGAAACCTCAGATGCCTTTTGGCAGGGGCCTGTTCAGAACTAGGAGGGGGGGATGTTACGCTCTCACACCTCGGAGAAGCTTGGGAGGGGCGGGCATCGAAGAATCTGCAGGATCCCTCTCAGAATAGTTGCGACGGAGCCCGTTTCAACACCGACCACTCTCAAACCTAAACTAGGCCCTAACCCCAAACCAAACTACCCATAAGATTAGTTGAGTGACGGAGGCCCAAGTTGCCCGACACCAGTGATTTGGCGTACATGAAGTTCAGAAAGGCTGTGTCTGGATGTCGCAAATTGTGGTAAAGCTTTTCTTGCTCAGTTCCGCAGGGAGGCAAGCCTTCGGTGGACCAGGCAAGGTTTTAGGTCTCAACAAGCTTGGCAAACCACCCCGAGTCCCTGGAACTATAACCCTGAGCCTTAAACGTTGAACCCTAAAGCCACGACCGAAAAGCGTGTGAGTCGAGGCTCCGGAGCTATGGCGCCTGTGGGAACCGTCTCCACCGCATCCTGCAGCTTCTGAGCAGTGCGCCCCTTTGTGGCTGCAAAGATCAAATGTCTGTGGGGCTCCATTGTCTGTACTTAGAAGATGACCACGGCTGTACCTGAGAGTGCTGCTAAAGCTCGGCAGTGGCTACTCGCAAGTCCTTTGTTCCGGTAGACGCCGACGATGTTGACTCCTTGACTGACTCCTTGCCCTGCACGGCAGCCATACTGAGACCGGGCACTGCACAAGTGGCGTTCTTGCTCGGACCTGCAGCTTCTCCTGATTGGGTGTCAGAAAAGTACCCACAGACGGCATCTTGGCGAACTGCCGTGGAGCTTCCTGACATCGGATTAGCATGGACAGTGTCGGCGATCCTGCCCTTTCATTCCTACCCGACTCTGCGTGGCTGAAGAACCCGACTCAGGCCAGAGCAGAAGACGCAGCGGCGGTTGCCTGCGGAGAATGCAGGAAGCATGACACTAAGAAAAGACAGGCAAGCACTTTCGGGGAACAATTGCGGCGAGTCGCCTGAGCGAGCTTGTTCGGATTGGGAGCAAGCCATGTTGCCACGGAGGCCAGCTTTGCGAACCTGAGCAGACAAAGTTTGGCACAGGTGGCTTCTGCTCCCCTGCTTTCTCTACAGCTTTGCTCACTCATCTAAAACCCTCACGAACAGAACCTCCCTACATTCACAGCTCGCATTGAACAACTGCTCCCAAGCTTCGAACTTTGTCACTGGTGTCACTGCCTGAGTCTCTGCTGGACACTGGATACCCACATGTGTGAAGACACACATCCACGTCATGCATGCCTCCATGCATGCAGGCATGCCTGCATACGTTCATTGCGTTCGCCTCGCCACCACACAATACCCACATGCACACTGTGTATGTATGTATGTATCTATGCATGTATGCATGCATGTCTGTATGTGCATGCATGTATGCATAACTAAATGTACCCTATCCATCTATCTATCTATCTATCTATCTGGTTATGTAGTTGTATTTGTTGTATTTACAATTTACACACACACACACACACACGCGCACACACACACACGCTTGCACGCACACAGATACATGCACGCGCGAGTCACGCGTGCGCAGCAGGACTTCTTGCAAGGGTTCTATCGCTTCCAGAACTAACCACATACCCCTGAGAAGCGTCTGAGCACGACGCTTTCTCAAGGTTGCGGTTGATAGACGCCGAGGCTGGGGCGGTCTTCATTGCTTCTGCAGGCTCTGCCGGCTTAGCACCCTCCTCCGGTGCTTTTGGCGGCTGCGCTCTAAGAGCCGAGAGCATAAGCTAGGAGCAGCAGCGCTCCTGAGGCTTCTTGTCGGACTTCCCTCGGCAAGGACAGCTTCGCAGTTTCTCCACACTCCGCCTCTGGTTTACACGAAATTCCGTTTCGAATGCCGACCTTGTCTCAACGCTTTCTCAAGGTTGCCGTTCATAGAAGCACGCAGCAATGCATCGCGAGCCTGGCAGCAAACAAGAGCTTTATTACCTTGCAATTAACTCTAGGAATACTTGATCCAAAGATGCCTGGACTCGCAGCTCTTCGGTCTTGACCTCGACATTACAGAGAAGCGCGCTTGGCAACTCTTCCTGTCGGCGGGTGCCTCGTCCTTCGTGGTTTCCTGCGCGGCCGTCAAAGACCCATCACGTTCTCCCTGCAGAAGGGAACCTCTTGCCTGCAGTCACTTGTTGCTGCTCTGTTGGAGGTGCAACGAGATGCTGCAAGCTAGTTATTAGTCACAGTTGCTTCCTTGGACATGCAGCCTACGCTCGAACACAGCACCCGAGACCTTGACGTTCTGCTGCGTCAGCGGCTCTTGGGTGACCTGCCTGGCAACAGAGCGATTTGATATGGTCTGATGGGCCCAAGCTACCTGGCTGGGGTTCAACTTAGAGACCATGGCATGATTCTGCAGTCATACCTCATCAGCTGACACGAACCTGAGAGGCCTCCGGAAACCGTGAGTGTCTTGACATCTGCATGGTCCGCACGCTGCTGGCCTCAGCCTCGCCACGGCATCCTGCAGCTCCTCGTGACGTCAGCGTTGCGGCACCGTGAGGGACCCTCACATGTCTACGGATGCGTCCTGTGACTGCGCACTGGCCGCAGAGCGGAGGCCATGTCTTCGCAGTGTCCGTTGGGCGCATGCGCCATCCTGCAGCACATCTATTAGCAAGGATCTCCGCAACACAGTGGTGCCGACATGAGCCGACAAGCACCAACCATAACGGACCATCACCCGTCCTCTGCAGCTTGCTGCAATTGCTGCAGGGCGGCCGCTGCCCTCGCTCCTTCCTCTGCTGCCTGGACCTCTGCTCTCACAATGTCCGGGTCCTCTGCAGCAGGGCTTCTCAACCCGACGAGTGCACCTTGCGGCATCATCTGAACATGTCAGGTCTGCAGTCCTCCTGCAAAGCATGCACTTCGGGCTGCTCGGCGCTTGCTGGTAGCTGAGGTTGCATGGGCATGGACGGCTCGGAGAAGCGGTGTTCCTGCGAAGAATGTCTGCGCAATCACTGATCTCTGGATATATCATGCAGCTTGCTTCATCATGCTTCATCGCTTCCACTGGTCCTATGCGACTAGTTATACTACCACCGGTCCACCGAAGCCAAGCTGCTGGTCGAATGCAAGACACTCGCTTCCTGTGATGCTTCGGGCTGCTGGGCTGCTGCTGCAGAGAAGCAGAATGAGCCTTGGAGGACTTGTCGGACTTGTCGGACCTTGGAGCTGGCATGTCTTTGGAATGCTGCAGGCCAGTGCAAGCGCCTGCATGAGTTCTCTGAGCTTGGCTTCCTGCTCCACCTGCGCTTGGGAGCCCTCAGGAAGCCAATCGAGAGCCTCGGTTTTCTAGAGCTGGCTGACAGGGCTGCAGCTGGAGGACCGACAGGCACTGCATTGAGGATTTGGAGCTTGTTGGACTGCCTCCGGGTTGGGTCAGTTCGGGTCAGGTCGGCACACTTTGTGAGCACTTCCGACGCCCCTTGGCTTAGTTTTGGGCGTAGTCCCGCATGTATTTATTCACCCCAGAGTATCCCCGAAGAACCCCAAGCTCCCAGAGCATCCCCAGAGACGACCTGGCCTCAAAGTATCCTGCCCAGCCCTAAGAGTATTCCCAGATTGCGGTTACAATTGAGCTGGCTTCCAAAATACTTGTTCCTGCCTCATATTCTTTTATGTACATGAATTACGGCACTGTGTTTACATCATCTGCAAGTGCCTGTGCGCGTAGGAACATAGTGGAACAGATTGCTGCAATCTCGATATCGTCTTTAGCCCCTGACAAAGCCAATGTACAGTAATACTCACCCCGTATCAGTTCGGTTCCGTGCTGAAAGGTCAGACTTTCTTGCAGCGGGTTCCAGCAGAACCCTCAAGCGAAAGTACAAGCGCTGTCACCTGAGATCTGCGCTGGCCGGCACTTGGAGGAGGGACTCCTCCTCAAAGTGCTGAGTGCCTCTGAAGCGTTCGTGCAAGGATTTTTGGCATTTGGGACACTGGCGCTCGAGGGTTTGTGGAGGTTAGCGGCACAGCTAGGGGCACGCAGGCTCCTCCGGGAACTCTCCAAACAATCGTCCTCAACCCCTGAAACCCCCCAAAGCCCAACATGGCCCAGGCTTGGGAAGCTGCAGGTAGGCAGGGTCGGTCTTGTAGGCGGGTTCATATTGCCGCCCAACACAGAATACTACAAAATAGCGCCGAGCAACAAGCTCCGACGGCACAGGGGACCCAACTTGCCCACGGTGGCACAGTCTAGCACAAGCACGCCGACTGCGATCGCGACCACTCAAAGCCGTGGCGCAAAGCAGGTGGCTGTCAGGGCAAAGTGGGAATGCAGCAGCATGCTGCAGTCTGATTCAGATGGAGAACAGGCTGAGCCAAAGAATGAATGGTTCTTGGAGATCGCGGGGGCGCGTAGCTGGCCTGTGCGAGTGCCAACTGTCGACTGACTCGACTCACCTAGGTCCTCCTGCAACCACTACCGCAAACCATAACCCCCGTTGAAAGGCCCGCCTCCCGCCCCAACAGCACGGTTGCAGCCTGGCTTTGCGCAGGTCTAGCTCTGATTTCGAGATTGGCTTCGGGAAAATGCGCTGAACAGGCTGAACAGCCAGACAGGCTTGCTTTTATGGAGTCCTTTGAGTTTACGTGATTTCCAAAAAGCATTTATTCCGGTGATTTCGTTTCATAAACAAACCTTCAGGATTTATTGAAAGGGGAAGGTAATGACAATATCATGACATGAATGCACGCGAACATAGAGAAAGAGCAAATTGGAACGATTAAGAACATGGTTACTGATCGTGCTACGAAAGGTGTTTAGACCATTCTATTTCAATCGGTACCAAACAAACACAAAATACAAATGATGCACTCAACAACTGATATGAGACCCGACGGAGCGCATACACACGAAAACGCGGTGAAAGTGAAAGCGAACTCGGTATTGAAAGACAGGTATTAAAACAACGTGCCGAAGGTAGAAATCGGGGATAAGGTTAAAGTACTTGTCAAAGGAAAGAGCAACTACACCAGTCGCAAATATTCTAGAAAGTCAATGGAATGATACAATACAAAAAGTTAAGGGAGTTGACAGAGAGTTGCAGTTGAATACATACGAAATATTAGACGGGTGAACTAAGCGGTACAATACGCACCAGCTATTACTTTTTTGTAGACGAATTCCGCACGCAGTAGACTGTCGGGGTCCTCAAGATCCTTCTTGGGATTTCCGACTGGTCGAGAATAGGCCTGCCGGGTGTGCGGTGGCCGGTGTCTCCACTTGTCTCCCTTCATGTTGGATGGGTGCGCCCGGTGTGTGGCCTCATACTGGCGCTCCGGTTTGCTAGATTATCAAAAAGCCACAGTGTTGCAATAACTTGTTGTTCTCGTTGTTGGCGAGCTGGACCGTTTGCATCGATCTCCGCTGTACTCGTAGGAGCCGGACATGGTGCAAATCATTTGCCACAGCACGCCGACAAAATCATCTGACCCTATCGCCAGACACCTGTGCGCTACAGCACGCTACAGCATTCCACTATAATCCACTCTACCGGAGTGGCTTGACTGGACCACAGCCTGGATTTCCGTGCAGGTGGCGTCGCGAGCGAGTTTCATGCTGAATGCCCAAGATGCCAGACCCTTGTAAAGCCCTGTACTGGATGAACCCCTCCACCTGTTGGAGCATTGCAGCTCATCCGGTGTCTTTCCCGTGGGCTTGAGCACTTTCAAGCTTTTCCATGTAGCTTTCGTATTCAATTTGTCATGTTATTGTGATTCCGCTGTGATGAACACAAAGCAGAAACTGCTAAAAGCCTGGGTGCTGAAGCGGCACTTGACTTGGAAAATGAACTTCCTCTCAAGCGAAGCTCGCAAAGCGAAGTCGAGGATACTCCCTCGTCTACAAACGACAGATAGAAAGATGAGATGGTAGGCTGTGCTTTTCATCTGGCACACCACAAATCTCTAAACTGAACCCTTGTTCTTGTTAGTGTTGCATCGTGCGGTACCAAAGTCTCACACCTGAGACCTTAGACCCTCATCCAAGTCTACAGGATCGTGCAAGGGTCGTTTTGCCACAGCTTGCTGGCCCTGCAGGTGGCAGCAACGGACGCGGTTTTTCGAGTGATGAGCCCTCTCCGGACAACAGCTGCAGGATGGGCGTGGCCCGAAACAACACAGCCAGGGTGCTAGACTGCCAGACCCTTCAGAGAAGTCTGCAGGTTTCCTGAATCATGCAGTCGAAACCAGCAACACATTTCAGCAGACCTCGATGTCGACCGGGCCAGAGTCGTTTTTGTCGACGGTGCTATTGTCCTGGCAGAAGGCAAAAGAATATGTGTTGCAGCGACTGGGTGTGGGCTTGGGTTTGGGGTAAGCGCAGCAGCTAGGGTCTACAAATGCACGGCTTGAGCTCTCGCATTTGCAGCTCGACTCTCGGACTCTGCAGTTTAGTCTTCAGAGGGCTAAAGGGTCTAGTGACACTCGGGTTTAGCTTTTAGGGTTTCGCTGAGGTTCAGTGTTCACCTTTTCGGCTTTGGGGGTTCAAGCCGCTGAAACCCTGAACCCAAACCCAACTGTCGATCTCAAACTCAACAGTCAAGCGTCCAAAGCCCTGCCGACCTAAACCCCAATCCGCAGAGCCGAAGCGCCATGACCCCAATTAAGAGACATGTAAGCCCACTACTTATGACAACCTAGTTAGTAGGCCTCCTACTTACGAAGCCCTGGTTACGAGTTACGAGGCCCCCGGATCCTGCAAGACAATGCTGAAACCAATAATTAAACCTTCGTGCAGAATTATTAAGCCCTGACAAAGCCGTTGTGACATCGTTGAAAAAAGGCCAATATCAATCCGAACTGCTGGACCGAAATTCCCCGAATTCCCTACACCTCACCCCGATGGCACAAGACCCTAAACCAAAACCCCAAACAGCAAATCCTACAACCCTGCGTCTAAAAAGCTCAACAATCAACCATGACCCCGAACCCCAAACCAACATATATACTATATATATATATATATATATATACATACATACATCCAATATATATGCATATATTATACATATACACACATATTGCACATATACATATATTATGTACACATATATCTACACTTCCAGGTCCCAAAAACAGTATGGCACCCTTACGAAACAGGGACCTTAATTCGGAGAACTACCCATAGGTTTTAGGGTTTAGGGTTTCAGCAATGAGGCGAAGAGCCTGTGGGGGTTCGCTGACAGCCGAAGGTTTTGGAATTTGGTTTCCTGGCTTAGATTTGCTTTTTTCCGTTTTAGCCGCAAAAAACCTAAGGGTGCTACGATCTCTGAACAAATGCTAGCTGCTAGGGCTTACCATGAGGGTGTGAGGAGGCGCCAGCAAGGCTTGGAGGGCTTCGATAAGCCGTCGCCTCGGCACCCGCCAAAACGACAGCAGAATGAGCACCAAGCGTGAAGGCACCAAGAAAGCCATGAACGAGTGAGGCGAAGCAAAACCTGCTTTTCGTGTGACTGTTGCGAGAGATGGCACTCTGAACGCAAGGAGCGAATGCTGGAGATGTCAGAGGCCTCTCAGGGAAGCTCTCCAACAAACTGCCCAGGCCTCCAGCAGCACCTCTTCATCCTGGCAGAAGTGCGCCTGGCAAAAGCGCGGGCAGCTGATGAACAAAGACACCATGAAACCTAGCCTTCTTGGCCATGTTTTGTTTTCCTCCTCCTGAAAGACCATGCTATACAAATACCGATCCCCCTCATGCGAAGGGTGCTGGTCATAAGACATGCTGCTTGCGTCTTGCATAAGCCCTACCTTTATGAATCCACAACCTCTAAACCTAGCACGGGGAAAAAAGGACTTGAGACTCGAACCTGCAAGTCTAGAGGACTGGGGGCTGAGGCTGCCGGATGTGAGTGCTCAAGCGAGTTTGGGATGATATGCGTTCGAGGGCAAGGGTCTAAGTTCTTCCATACGATTCAGGCTCTGTAAGACTTCATGTATTTCAGGGTCCTGTACTGCTTTAGGTGGCTCCTGGGCACTTTCCGGATGTTGGGTCTCGCGCTTGGCGGTGAAGGAATCAATTGTATGAGTCTTCCTTACATGCGCTTCAGGTGTTCAAAAGTCATGCAATCACGGTGCTCTCTTTGCGGCACGAACATCGAACACTCTTCTGTTCCCTGAAAGTTTCTGAAGTTCCATCAACCCCCAGAGAACCGCACACTCACTTCCCGAAAAACCCGGACTAGGAAGGTGACCGACCAGGACTTCCTAACAGCTGAAGAACAGTTTTCAAGGTGGAGTATCGATAAATTACACTAAACACCTACATCCGTATGTCCGAAAACTAACCTTCTTACACACTAGACTCACTAAACCCTATAAACCTCAAATAGTAGCGATCAAATCCTGAAAGACGGTACCGGGAACCAGTACAAAGCAATCGAAATCAGAAAGTCAGCAACGGAACGAGCAGCAATAGTTGTCGGCGTCGTCGTCGTCATAGTAGTAGTAGTAGGAGTAGTAGTAGTAGTAGTAGTAGTAGTAGTAGTAGTAGTAGTACTAGTAGTACTAGTACTAGTACTAGTAGTAGTAGTAGTAGTAGTAGTAGTAGTAGTAGTAGTAGTAGTAGTAGTAGTAGTAGTAGTAGTAGAAGTGGTAGTAGTAGTAGTAGTAGTAGTAGTATGTAACTGTACATAGTCTGCGGGCTGGCTGTTGTGCTGTATGCTTTTATGCATGCTCTTCTGTAATTCGTATTCATAACATTTTGGCTCAAGTGAGCACGGCAGTGTGTCGTTGGTAGCTTCTCGTTGCCGCGACGCAATTGCGCGCAGCCCGTCCTGGGCGGACGTTCGACCTGTCACGGTCGTTGGACTTTCTGCTTGGACGGAAAACGAGGGTGCGTGCTGCCCCTTTGGGTTTCCGTTCTCCACAATTGGGGGCTGTTCTGGGAAACGGCCACCCAGGCGGCTGCTGCGCCGCAATCTTTTAACGTGGCCTCGAAGGCGCGCTTGTCGTGCGCCTTGAGGCCGTGGTCCTGTGTGGCACGGGGCTCTCTCTTTCGCTAGGCGACCATGAGCGCTGAGGTCGCAGGTCAGCCGGAAGGAGCCACGTTGCTGAGGTGCATCGAGGATGGGTCAGTGGAGTACCCGGAGAAGATGCCCTTTATGTACTGGCTCCGTTGGCGTAAGGAAACGGGGTCCCGTCCCACCAAGACGAAGGACGGACGATCCACGACGCTAGCAGATGAACAGCGTCTGTGGAAGGAGACGATGGAATTCCTCTACGACAACTTCGATGCCGAAGAGGAAGAGGAAGAAGATGAAGAGGAAGATGAGGAAGCTCCAGCTGCGGAAGCGGGCCCGGGTGCTCAGGATGGCGATCCGGGCCCCAGCTCTGAAGAGCTTCTGCCGGAGGCCGGGGTACCGGCTCCGCGTCCTGCCGCTGCGCCGGCGGACGGGGCCGAGACGGCGCGCCGTGTTGGTGCGCTTGCTCTCTCGCCGGTGGCCGGCGGCCCGGCCCGTTCCGGGCCTCCCTCGTCTGCTGGGACGGGTGGTCCCGTCACGGCGGAGACCCTGCAGGCGGACCTGCGGGAGCTCTACCGTCCCGACCAGGAACCGGTCGCGGATTACCTGACGCGGGTTTCAAGGATGGTTGTGGCCTTGAAGGCGCACCAGGCAGAGGTCACGGTGGAGGATCTTGAGAAGATCACTACCAAGGCCACCATCCTTGCCGAGGAATACGGCAAAATGGGAGGTGACTGGCACCCTGCCAGGATGGTGCGGGCCCTGCGCACCAGGTTTACCGTTGCCGCGGTTTCTCTTGGGTCGGAAGACCGAGAGGAGGTCGAGAAGGAGATCTCGTGCCTCGGCGAGCTGATCTTGGCCCTGGGAGGCAAGAGCAGCGGCGATCCCGAGAAGGTTTGGAGCACTCCTTCTTCTGTCCCCGCCCTGGCGGCCCGGACGGGCGCCGTTGCGGAGTCGGGCTCTAAGTCCGGAGCACCGGCGCCTCTCCCGGTGGACCTTCAGCTCGCGATCCCTGAGGATCCGCAACCTGGTCCGGGGGACTCACCCCTGAAGTCCCGCCTTGCGGCTCTGGAGATAGAGCTCGAAGGGCTTAAGAGGGATAAGCCCGGCGAGCCTCACTCCGCCAGCGGCGGAGCCGGAGAGCTCGCTGCAGCTTTGGCGGCCCAGACCGAGGCGCTCAAGGAGGCCTTGGCGTCTCGCGGAGGTCAGACGTCGATCACGACCGTGAAGACGGACCTCCAATGGCCCTCGCTCACCGACGATCGCTCCGACATCCGGGACGTGGTCCAGTTCTACGAAGAGTTCGAGGACGTCTGTGGCCTTGCCAACAACTGCAAGGGGATGAATTTCCGGGAGAAACTCATCGCCCTTCGTGCTCGCTGCCGCGGCTCGAGGCTTAAGACCTTTACTAACGTGTACAAGGCTGCCTCCAAGACCGGGGAAGTTACTGAGAATCCCCAAGCCGTTTACGAAAGGATCAAGCAGCGGCACCTTGTCTTCGGCGAGAGCCGAGAAGAGAAGGAGATGAGGGTGGACGCGGAGCACGTCGCCCTCACTAAGGGCCGTCTCACAGGGCACCAGTTCGAGCCCCTGTTTGAGGCCTCCATCGCGGAGCTGGAGAGTGTGGGTCTTGGCAAGACAGCGAGGGAGCTCTTCCTAAGCTACTTGCGCAAGATGCCTCCACATCTCCAGAAGGAGATCCGCGGTGATAAGCGGTTGTGGCCTAGCGACGGCGCATCCGCAGGGCTTCGAGGCCCTTCGACCTGGGAAGAAGCGCATAAGGTCGTCCTCGAATATGAGCAGCGTGAGGCTGCGCATCGGGTGACGGCTAATAGCGTGTACGCAGGTTCGACGGAAGACCCAGCCCTGTCCGCCGCGCGGAAGGAGGTCGAGAAGCTGAGGACGGAGCTCAAGGCTTCTAAGGCCGCGGCCAAGGCGGCCGCCTCTTCCACGCTTGCCGCTGGTCCGAAAGGAAATGGAAAAGGTAAGCCTATCTGTTTCCATTTCCGCGACCACGGGAACTGCCCAAAAGGGGACGCGTGCCCTTACTCGCACGACAAGGAGCTCCGCAAAAAGGCCCTCGCGGCCAAGAAGGAGCGGGACGCGTCCACCCTGGCGACAACGCCGGGGAAGGGCAAGGGCAAGGGCAAGGGTGGACCCGGAGGGCAGCCCAAAGGCAAGGCCAAGGCCAAGCCCAAGGCGAAGTCCAAGGCGGGCGCGAAGCCGCCAGGGACTATCTGCCCTTTCTTCAAGAAGAACGGGTCGTGCCGTAAGGGAGCGGACTGTGACATGGTCCATTCGCTTCCCGCCACTGGGGGAGCCGCGTTGCCTTCGAACTGGGCGGCCCCGAGTGGCGCCGGGATGGTGAATCCCTTCGCTACGCTCTCCATCCAGATTGGGAGCGCTGGCACGGTTGTTGCGGCGAACTCCTCCGCTTTCCCGCTTGCCAAGAGCTCGTCGTCGAAGTTCAGCTCGTTGGACGAGCTGCCTCAGGACTGGTGGCACCTCTGCGAGAACGAGGTCGGGGGGTACCAGTACAGAACAGTCGTGCAGGTCATCGACGGCATGGTGGAATGCATGCTGGACGGGTGTGCAGGCTCGAACCACATCACGGAGGAACTCCTCTGTGGGATCCTCAACCGGGCTGCTGCCTTGGGGATCGGCACGGAGGACCGGAGGTTTCCTGTCGTGAAGTTCGAACGCTGGGTGCATCCGGAGTTCGTCCATGGGATCGCTGCAGGGAAGCCGGTGCCCCTGAAGGGGGCCGTCGTGCTGAGAGTCCGCTTTCTGGAGGGGCTCTCCCCCGACAACTGCAGCGAGGGTCCAGAGATATTCGTGCGCTGTAAAATAGCCGCGAAAGGAACCTCGGATTGGCATGGGCTCATCCTTGGCGGCCGCGCCTTGGATTGCTCGGGACGGCAGGGCTTGGGCTTCAAGCCCCTTCCTGACTGCCACTCCCTGGAAACCCTTGGGATTAAGATCCCCAGGTGCGAAGACTACAGTAGGTCGCGGAAGGACCGCGCCTACGCCTTCGAGTCCAGGCTTTCTAGTCTCGACGGTGCTCTGTGCTTTGAGCCGGGTACCGGAGGCAGGGACCTGCTCCGGTACAGCGGGGAGAACCCGCTGGAGCTCTTGGCCGGAGATGGGGTCATCGCACCTGTGAAGAGGGAAGGCAGTGGAGGCCAGGATGGCTCCCTTACGGAGGCTGTCCTCCCGGTAGAGTCCGCCAACTGCGAAGCAGTGCCTGGGCTGTGGCCCACAGGAGCCGAGGAAGGTTCGATCTTGCTGGTAGCCGAAGAGGACACGACTGTCTCTCCGGGTGCCGTCGTCGGCGAGGTCCGGACCGGGCTCGCGCAGACCACCGCGTGTGAATGCGGAGGGGTTGAGACCCTCTTTACGGACGCGAGTGGTGACCCGTGTGGGAACTGCGGATTAGGCACTGCCGAAGACTCGACCTTCCCTGGATGCTTTGCGTGCGGGTCCACCGAGAGGACCGCCGTCTGTGGCCTGCAAGGCTGCGGCGCATGCTCGCACAGCAGGGGTTGGCGTAAGGGCCTGAGGGTTGGGGCGGTTTTCGCCCTTGCCGCCGTAAGCACGGTCCTAGGAGGGCCTTGGGCCACG